CTTTAATATATATAACGAGTACGGTACTACTAGTACTATAGAGCTTATTAGTAAATTACTAGGTAACAAATAGCGGAGGAATACGATAGTTACTAGGGACTTCAACCTCTATTACCCTATATAGAGAGGTATTAAAGCTACCTAGGACCTAGGTATAGATAGGCTTATTAAGCTCTACGACGAAGTAGATCTTAATCTATAGCTAGAGCCTAGTACCACCACAAGGGACTAAAACGGGGAGTAGACGACAATTAATCTATTCTTCGGTATACCGGATCTTATAGAGAGATTAGTCGTATATAAGCTAGCCTTAGACTATTATATAGATTTAGATTACCTACCGATCTAGGTATATCTAAACGTCGACGCCGAGCCGGCTATCGAGGTAAAGAGACGGCTTTAGAAGGCTATAGATACCGAGAAATTCGATATCTTTATAGCCGATAACCTCCTAGTCCTAATACTATCCCGTCTAACCACCCCCCGGCAAATCGACGATATAGTAAACCATCTAATCGAGATCGTATAACGTAGCGTATAAGAATCGATACTATAGGCTAAACCAAGCCTATAAGCGAACCTATTATAGACTAAGGAATATAGAGAGGCTGTTAAGCACTCTCGCCGTATATTCCGTTAGTACCTTACTATATACGATAAAGAAGACTAGGAGATATATAGACTCGCTAGGAACCGGAAGGATAAGGTTATTAAAGCCGCTCTCTATTATAGCTTCCGGAGCTTTATTAAAGAAGTAGTAGACTAAGGCCCCTATAGGCTCTAGAGAGTAGCTAAGTAGGCTAGGAATCGAGGCTAGTAGTAGGGGAGTATAATACTAGTATTAAAAACAGCCGACGAGGTTATAGAGAGCGATATAGAGAAAGTCAACTTACTCCGTAAAGTATTCTTCCTATAACTACCGGAAGCTAACCTCTCCGATATCTAAGTTAGCCACCGAGAGTAGTTCTAACTACCACCGGTTAACAATACTAAGGTAAGAGCTACAATCAAGAGAGTACTACCAAACAAAGCACTAGGATACGACATACTACTAAACTAGGTATAGCGGATACTAGCGGAACAAGACTCACAATCAGAGAAGAGATTTATCCCCCTCCTTTCTACTATCTTTAATATATATATCCAAATTAGATATAACCCCTAGCACTTCTAAACCTCTATTATAGTAATACTAAGAAAGGCCGGCCTATAAGACTACTAAGTCCCTAAATCGTATAGGCCGGTCGTACTCCTAAATATACTTAGTAAGGTCCTTAAAGCGATTATCGCGACACGAATTACGTAGTATATAGAGAAGTATAATCTACTCCCGAAGATATACCTAGGTAGAAGGAAAGGGGTATCTATCGACCATACGATCTAGTTAATCCTTAGGAGAGTATACTAGGTATAAAGAGAAGGTAATATAGTAAGTATACTACTCCTTAATATTGCCGGTATATATAATATAGTCTCTTACGAGAGGCTGCTATATAATATATAACAAATAGGACTCGGTATACTTACTCCGTAGGTATAGTCATTCCTTACCGGTAGGAGTATACGAATTAAGCTACTAAATAGCTATCTTAGCGAAGTATTTCCTATACTAACTAGTATCCCCTAAGGCTTACCAATCTCGCCGATCCTTTTCCTCCTATTTAATATACCGCTTATATACGCGTATATACTACGAGGACTATACTACGGGGAGAGCGAAGTATACGGCTAGGTAGATAACGTTTATATTCTAGCTATCTCAAATAGCTACGAAGAGAATATTAGAGTACTAGAGAAGGTATTATAAAGAGTAACGTCCTAGGCTAGCAAGTATATAGCTAAGTTCGTACCTAATAAATTTGAATTAATTCACTTTACCAATCCGAAGTCTACTACTACCACTAATACTACTATTACTACTAATAGTATCACCGATATCTAGGAGATCCTAGAGGACCTATTAGGATATAACGGTATACCGGTAATTATTCTAGGGGACCTAATACTAACCATCCTCGCGCCGTCGGGTATAGCAAAATACCTAGGTATTTAGCTCGACAAATACCTCAATTTCTCGATATACTATAAGAAAATACTTATAAAAGGAGCCGGTAGTCTCGAAGCACTCCGTATAATCTTAGGCTCTACTTAGGGATTATTATTAATTATAATATAGAAAGTATACTAGGTAGTTATCATTCTATAGATACTATAGGGACTATCTACGTAGTACTATCTAGTAGCGAGATCGATACTAAGGGGGGACCTCGATAAACTTATAAACGAGCTTATAAAGATATAGAAACGTATAGCAATCCTAATTAGCGGTGCTTTCTATAGAATAGCGGGGGTAGCACTTAATATAGAACTATATATTCTCCCTATTAAATTACGACTATAGTAAGTTATCGAAGAAACAACTATAAGAATCCTTACCGGCCTATAATAGGGCTACCTATAAACGGCTAAGGAAGCTAGAAAACCGAGGGAGCGGAAGCTTAGCGGATAGTCCCCGACTAAAGCGATTACTAGGAAAACATTCAAATTACGGTATAAAAAATAGGAGGAAAAGTATATATTTATTCTTATACTATAGGAGGTACTAGTCCCCTACTCTATTAAGAATCAAGAAGTAGTATTAAAAACCTATAATAATATTTATAAAGACGTTATATATAATAACCACGGTCGCACTAGCATAATTTTTATAGACGGAAGTAGGTTTATAGGATATATTAGCGTATTAACGGCTAGGGAATACCCGGAGATAACGTTAGAAAGACGATACCTTAGAATAGATTCCTAGTCTATAATATACGCTACCGAGCTTAGCGGTATTAAGATAGTACTCGCTAAAACGAGGTATAATAACAAACAATCGACGGCTCGAGAAGTAATCATTTTCTTAAATAGCTAAGCTACTATCTAGATAGTTTAAAACCTATAACGACTATCTAGCTAGTACGTACTCGGGCTTATATACGATTACGTATAAACTATCTAGTCGTAAAACCAACTAACTAATATCACTATTAGGTAGATCCCTATATACGTTAGTATAGACAGTAATAAATTTGCCGATAGAGAAGCAAAGAGTATAGCGCTTCTTAGTATAGGGATAGGAGTTACGACTAGGCCGGATAATCCGATAATCCGTCTCGCTATAGCTACTAAGAGAGCGGTACGCTAGCGAATTAGAGAGCGGTAGGAGAAGTAGTAGGAGCGAGAGAGAACCTCCGCTCTAATAAAGCGCTTAGTATAGGCGCCGAATAAGAAGACCCTTCGTTTATACGAGGGCCTATCGAAGCTATAGTATACGATCTTAATTTAGATACGTATAATACGAATTGGCCTTCGGCACTTCTTATTTAAAATTAAGGTAGTAGAGATAGATAGGTATAATTATAATAAGGGCTTATAAATACTAAAGCATATCCTAATATAGTATCCGCTATATATTATTCCGCGTACGAAGTTATAGGAGTAACTAGAGAGAATTAGGATAGGATTTATAGAACGAGACTATAATAAGATCATATCTAACCCGTAGGCCACCCGCTACGTAGTCAACTTTATATACCGAATAGGTCTCCTCTAGCAGTTTTAATACGTTAGAATCGAGGAGGAAAATGACGACGACGAACCGATAGGCCTTACGGCAATAGACCTAGGTGTAGAAGACGATAGGTATTAGCCAATAACGACAAATAATACTATAAAACGAGAAACTCAGCCAAAGTCGACCAACATACCAATCAACTAGCCACGACACCGTCACTATCAATAGAAACTGAGGCAGGGGGGTTGATAGAGAGAGAGAGAGAGAGAGAGAGAGAGAGAGAGAGAGAGAGAGAGAGAGAGAGAAGTGAGAGATGGAAGGTAGAGGGTGCACTCCATGCAGTCATTATATGTTATTTCTTATGTATGGGTTCAGATGGGTTTGGATTTGTGGGATCTACGGGGGATTACAGGAATGGGCTGATTCCACTCTTTACAATCAGCATCTGTATACTCTGGGAGAGATCCCGCTCGGCGTTTGGCTTCGAGTTCTTGCTTCGGTTGGATGAAGCGCCTGCATAGTCATACGCAACTAGTTAGACTGCAACAGGTTAATTGAACTTTGATTGATTGATTGATTGATTGATTGTGGCTGGCCAAGTTTGGTCGCTTGGCTTAACATACCAATTTGCAACGACGCTCATGCCAGATACACTTCATACAACATTCTAATGTAATGCATAATGTCACCTGAACAGGTTATGATCTATTTTATTAACACACAGACCTAAGAGGTACATATGTACTTCGTATATGCATATTATATGAATGTCGGTGAGCAGTATAGAACTATTTCCAGGGTTAGTTTTAACTCTACAACTAGATAATGACAGAACCTAGTCACCAATATTTTATGGGTTCAGAATGGTAATGGCAAACTCTCTAATAACGAAAAATATGCAACTGACAATCCTGTAGGTGTTGCATGCTGAGAAAGATCAATGTGCACTTCTATGTGAGGTGTCTGATATCGATATCGTAAGATATTCTTGGTAAATACAAGGCAGCTTTTATGCGATGCTACCTTTTCGCATATTCCCACCATTATTTTGAAGATAGGCAAAGAGTTTTCTTTGAGTGGAGTTCTTTGCTTGTAAAATAACATCATCAGAGGAACGAATTTTGTGATCTCATATTTTGCGCGTATGCAGTTTAGACCGCCGAGGTCCACGGGTAATACTTTTTATAGGAGATTAACCCGAAGCTTCATTGGAACTCTTAGTACTTAACCATAATAGAACCTCCAACGCACTTTAACGAAGATTATAAAAAACTACACACCCTTTTTGAAGTGGCAAAGTAGCGAGATCAGCTTGAAGAGAAGCTACCCCACAGAAAACCACCCCCTCCCCCCACCAACAAGGCGCTTTCGGAAACAAAACAAGAAGCAACAAGGAATCGCACCATAGCCTCCCTCAATACGTCAAACGGAGTGAACTATCATGGAACCACAAGACACCGATACTGCTCACGCTTTACAAACTGAAATCAACCATTTCATGTCAATCCCATGGTGTCGCTCGCACCTCTGTGAACCAAACTTCCAGCCTGTTGACAAACCCCGGGAAGCCACGCCAGACAATGGACACACGCTATTGGGCAGGACATGGTTCACCAAGGATACAATTCCGCATTTGCTCACTTTATATCGACAACCTTCTGCCACAGAGGGCTGGAGGGGCGAGCTTCGCAGATTCCATACATTAGGCACGGGGCTAAACGAGCACCCCAATGTCTTCCACGGTGGAGCTATTGCTACCATATTGGATGGTGCGCTGGGTGTTCTCATTAGGTATGCGACGTCCGATGGGAGGCCAGCATATACGGTGACGCTGAACATTACATATAAGAAAGCCATCAAAACACCAGAGACGATTATGGCACGCTCATGGATCACAAGGACCGAGGGGAGGAAAATTTGGGGTAGTGCGCAGATTGAAAGCGGCACCGGCGAGCTCTACGCGACTGCGGAAGGGATTTTTGTCAAGGCCATTGCAAAGATCTAGCGCTGGAATTTCCAACGGGAACCAAATGCCCAAGGGTTGAGTTCCCTGACGACCAACGATAAGAGGATGTATTTGAGGAAGGAATCTACATCTCGCAACCATGGCCAACTAATAATCATGCGGCTTTATACCCAACGTCTGTTCTTATAACTCAGTGTTACGGTTAGAATCAATGACAAAGTCTATATATTACACCCACAGCACGGAAAGTATCGTCATTGTGTCTTTATATAATTTCCAAACCCTCCTGCGTATTATTTCTACCTTGGGATATTTAGCAAATCCCCCCTGGGATGCCGAGGCGCCGTCGACAAGCAACTTCCCCGCACGGAGATGTCTGCAGACTTGATTTAGCAAAATAACGGAGATCCACGGCCACAAACTGCTCATCTCGGTGATTTTGCGGACTTTGATCAAGTGGTATGGTCGGGAACCAAGTGATCTCGGGTATTTGATCGGAAACCGCGGTTGATATAATCAAACATTTATATAAACCCATCTCGGTCCAGTCAATGTTTCTCGAAGAGCTGTTGCATTTATCTTCATTACAAATATGACTACCCAGTCTCGAATTCCTGCAACCGCAGAGTCCGGCACATTGACTCGGCTTGGAAAATTGCCGAATGCCTATACTTCCGATGCCAGCCTGCAGCGAATGCTAGGATGTAAGTCCAGCACACCTACCTCCTTTTATTCAATCTAACCTGATGACAATAGGGTACCTTCCTGCAGAGACCCTCGAATTGGTTCAACCCCACTTCTCTCAATTTGGTGAGGAGGCTGTTTCGCCCCAAATCCTTGAATGGAACATCGACGCAGAGACCAACCTGCCATATGTCAAAAAGTACAATGTCTGGGGCCAGAGGTATGGGTATGACAAGCTGGTTACGGCTGAGGGGTGGAAGCAGTTGGGGAAGTGGGGGGCTAGGAATGGGTTAGTTGTTCGTCTATTTCTTGATATGCATTTGCCACTAATACAGATGTTTTAGGGTTGTCTCGCTGGGATATGACCACACATACGGCGTTCATAGGCGCACTGTTCAATATGCTGCGTATGTCATGGGTTCACTGTTATTTCGTGAGCACGAATACTAACAGCCGAGTCCAAAGAGTGTATCTATACGCCCCCTCGTCGTCCATGTACAGATGCCCTATGAGTATGTCCGATGGGGCGGCATTTGTATTGTCACAGCGCCTCAAGGATCTGCCAAATGACCATGTTTTGCACACCGTATTTCGGAAACTGACCTCCAGAGGAGACGACTACTGGACATCTGGCCAATGGATGACGGAAAGAGCAGGTGGGAGCGACGTTCAAAACACAGAAACATGGGCTACCTACGCACCCTTATCCCAAGGATCGAAAACATCCGACGCCCTAGCCGAGGGAGACTACCTGATCAACGGATTCAAGTTCTTTTCCTCCGCAACAGACGCCAATGTCGCTTTCCTCTTAGCCAAGACAGGATCTGGCAAACTGAGCACATTCATCGCGCCATTACGGAAGACGATCATTGGAGCGGATGGAAAGCCCGAAGAAGTATCCAACGGCGTGCGGATCCACCGCCTGAAAAACAAGCTCGGTACCAAGGAATTGCCCACGGCCGAGCTGGAACTGAAGGACATGCGCGCTCACCTCGTCGGCGAGATCGATCATGGAATCAAGACTATTGCTCCACTGTTGAATACTACGCGCATCCAGACGCTTCTTGGAACATTATCAACCTGGCGTCGTGCTATCAGCATCACGAAGAATTTCGCCAAGTCACGAACTACTGTCGGCGAGCCATTATGGTTGATCCCGATGCATCTGCGCCTCCTCGCAGATGTGGAGGTAAAGCATCGTGGCGCTATAAATCTTGCCTTTTTCACAATTGCAGTGATGGGTTTGATTGAAAATCCATCCAGCTCCGCGAGTCGTCCACACATGCCGAAGGATCTTGCCGAAGCAAAGGTCATCTTCCGGGTCCTAACCGCAACTTGCAAGGGTGTTGTTAGCAAGATGTCGATGGTGGGTGTGCAAGAATGCCAGGAAGCGATGGGTGGAGTCGGGTATATTGACGAACCGGACGAGCCCGAGGTCAACATTTCGCGCCTTCTCCGAGCTGCAGCCGTCTATCCGATCTGGGAGGGTACCACGAACGTCCTGGCGAGTGAACTCGTCCGCTTCCTGATGAAAAGTGATACCCTGTCTGTTCTCTCAGGGTGGCTTGATCGTGTTGTGTCTTTGGTCCGTACACCGTCTCTGGCGGGTGCATTGAAGCAGGCTCTGGCCGCTTTCCTTTCTCGTGTGACATCTACTAGTCCGCAGGCTGCGTTGCTGGCCGATGCCCGGAGGATTATGTTCACCTTCGCCTGGATTCTTTCGGGGGCTCTCCTGACTTTGGATGCCGAGCGTGATGGGGATGAAGTCGCGATGGAAATTGCTCGCAGATGGGTTCTATTAGGCGAGGGTGGTGTGGGCGAGTTTGTTTACCGGGATATTGTCAAGCCGTATCAGGCCTATGATTCGACCTCGGGGACTGCTGAGCATACTCAATTTGATTGTAAGATCGCTTGGGGGGTTGAATTGCCCAAGGTGGTATTTGGTCATCGGTCTTTGAGCGAGTCATCGAAACTGTAGATTAAACCTGTTTCATGAAATGCTTGGATTGAACATACATTATGTACCCGATTGCTGCCTGAGTAGGATGATCGTTGAGAGCTTATTTACCATTTCAAAGCGATTTATGTCATTAAGTTATAGTTTATTAGTCTGAATACGTTGTTGTATGGTAGGATATAATGGATTCGTTCTGCCATGTCTATACATGGCTGTACAGAGGGTGATATCCTGACGTATGTCCAGTTTATATATTAATAATATTGTCCCAATCAGTTGGAAGTTCATGCAACGCATCATCAGCTGTCGGAGACTTCCATTTCTCCCACGCATCAGGAGGCGTTATTTCCACAAAATCACTATTTAGAAAGCACCCATCAGCGAAGTTTGACACGGACGATCGCCGAGTGAGTGGGAATGTTCTAATACTCCTGTTTGGGCCACTCCAACCGCTGAGTGGCCAGTCTGCGCCCATATCTGTCTGTGGGGGTGCGAGGCTGCTAGTGGAGCAGGACCTGCTTGATTTTCGACGCTTGGTCCATGAAGGTCCCGCGCAAGCTGGTGTGGACTCATGGGAGTGCAAGGAGACAGGAATCCGCAATTCGTCGGGCAGTGGCTCTGCGCCTCGCTCCGTTCTAGCGGCGACCTCGGGGAGTCGTAGGCGCTTTTTATTTCCCAAAAATGATGGTTGTTGCCACAGGGGCTGGTCGTCAGCTTCTTGGAGAGGATACCTTCCCTGTCCAAGCCGGTAATAGCATGACCAAAAATTAATGTCAAGGAGTTTTGAGCCACTGTGCAGACAATCGACCCAATCATAAAAATTGCTAACATCAAGGTGAAAATAGGCTAGAATGGGTAGAGAGAGGGTATACATCTTCCCAAGTCTTAAAACTGAAGCGCTCGAGCTAATCAAGCTTGGGATATATCAGCAGGCATCATTGGTGGATACGGGGTTCAGACCGAACTTACTAGGATGAGCTATAGCAAACCATGTCCCCCATGACATGAAAATCTCTGATCAACACGGGAATTATGGTTGCAACACAGTTACTGTCCTTCGAAAATATCAAGAGAAAGGTATGCTTAGCTGAAGCCCCCTCACAATTGCTTCTAAAGCTTTCATACGTATCCTGCCAAAAAGGCAGCACGCCCAGCACATATCATAATTATGGCAAAGCGCCATGGTCCTAGATAATTCGGCCTATCATCTGGTGCGGACTTTGGTGGTGCTTTGCATATATTATCTGCTGGCAGAGGCGAGTGCATTGGTAGCGCCCATACCATCCTGCCGAAAGGTGGTCACGCCATTGGGTAGAATGAACTCGTTCTGGGTATGATTCCAGCCGTCGTATTGGATAGGGTCAAGCGGGGGTGATCTTCCCAGTTCTGCTACATGAGCGGACACTACATAGACCGCATCCTGTACGTCGGTCTCTGTGAGAAGGCCTATCGGGGAACGGCGTTGTATATAAATAGGTTTGTTTGTGTCGTTGACGACTTGGACCTATGAGAAATTGGCGTCGACGACGTGTGAGTAGAAGCTGGCATATATATGATTTTCCTATGAAAAGGTAGTGCCGGTCCTTTAGTAGGATATGGGCGACCGCGTCGAGTGTTATATATAAGCGGGGTGGAATAACTGTTGTGATAGCCGCCCTTACCGTCCGTCTGACTCGATAGTGCGGCCTACTGTAGATATCGACGGCGAAGGTAAAGCCTATATACGAGCCGATACACACCACCCTAGTGTCTATATCCTATATCGTGGCAAAAACCCTCGTTATCTATAACGTCCATGCCTAGGAGCAACTTCGCTTTGAGGTTGTTAACATGGTAGGCCTCAACCATGATCTTCGCGACGTTGTGCTCGCTGTTAAAGAATAGTGGTAAAAGTATATACATAGAAGAAATGTGATTAGACGCGATTCCGAAAACGGGAATGTCTTGAGTTTTATAGCAATGCAATTGTAAACTATTGGCTATCGAGCTGTCAATAAGGGTCATTAGACAGCCGGTGTCTAAGCATATTGTGTGTTTGTCCTGAGGGGTCCCGCGGCCCGTCGTGGTACTGAGGTATCGCCATGCCTTATAGGCTTGACCTGGCATATGAGGAGTGTGTGTGCGGTCCTCAATCATTGGTTTGTAGTGTTCGTCTGCGTTGCCGTCCTCACCGACGGCAGCGTAGGTATGCAATGCATATCTTTGCACCGTAAAACCCAGCAGAGTTCATGTCTGGCTCTCTATGCTTGATATAGCTAATTTGTTTTGAGCCAGGACTCCAAGAGAAGTCATGCACATGTCGATCGCCACGGACAATTCTCTGGATCTGTCTTGTCGCTACATGGACAACTCCAGGCGGTGATGTTCCAAGTTCTCTCCCCACACCGTGGCATCGTCTTTTGCCTTCTCCTTGTGGACCTGTTCATCCGTCTTCTCATCTGGGCTGGTAAATGATATACGGACCGTTGGGACTCCAAATGCCGCAATAGGTTTCTTATTACCGTCAGGCATGATGGGGTATGGTTCGCCTCCATCTACTTGCATCACATATATGGTCGAGGACTTACCCAGGTGGCCTCGATCAGATTTGAATGCAAGAGAAGTTCCATCTGGAGACCACTTTGGCTGTTCATCGCTGAACAAGCCGGAGGTAAATTGACGAGTACTTTTTTCTTTGCCAACCACGGCTATCCAGATTGAGGAGGTGGCATTTTCACCCTTCTTGCTGAAATATTGTAGTTTGTAGACGATCTTAGCAGCGTCGGGAGAAATGTAAAGATCTCCGGGGACTTGGAGGTCGGCTAAGGCTTCCAGGCTCAAGTTGGCCTTGTAATCTGGGTTGGTTACCATTGTGAATGCTGAGACGTGAAAGAGTAAGAGGAGAGAAGTGAGAGGTAAGAGGTGAGAGGTAAGTCATAATTATATCCTTGTCCTTTTGCCGGAGTCCAATGACCCCCATGCTGATAGGGCCTATTTTGATTTAACGGGGAGATCCAATTACATTGATCCATTCCAAGCATTTCTTTTCACCTTCAAATCGGGCTTGTCAGGTCATCTTTATCATATTCTCAAATACCTCTCACACGAGTCATCTGCCACGTATGCAGCCTTTGTCCTTAACGACGTAGAACGATAATCTGATTTGTCTGCTCAAGATGATATACGGGTCGTGATATTTAATGTCACACTCTGGTTCTCTTTTTAGATGACTTGTAAGGTGTCCTTTTAGATTACGGTGTTACAGCCGTAAAAATAACAATTAGCTGTGTACGGAGGTACTCCAGGAGTGGAATAGAGTAAAATATGAGCGTGGAGCTTTCTCTGTATCTTGGGATAAAATATACTAAGACAACAGGAATAGGGGCCTTGTTCGTTGCACTACTGGCTATTTGGCTAGCTGCTTGTTTTCGCATGAACTCATGGCTCTTGCGAAGCCCATACCGAAGTTGCCATGTTGATCAGGCGCTGCTTCTCAAGCCAAATGTCGGTCTCCCTTGGGATATCCGGGGATCGTCGGAAAATGTATTCGAAGGGAATCGTAATTGGGTACTGGGAGACAGTGGTCTTATCACCAGACCTTTCGATCACGCAGGATTGTGTGACATGGGGACGTTGGACACCTGAGTCCCATTCCCAGCTATCAATTTTAAGCTGGGGCTTCCTCCGGTTGACTTTCACAGTGATGGTCATATTTGCCTTCCCTCTGACGGGATCCACCCACATTCTTGCGTCGTTGCGCAATTTCGTTTCAGACACGGAAACTCCAACCTCCACGACTACCCCGGGTCGTTTGGGGACACCACGAGTGTGTCGAATGGGACCCCAGCCCCCATCTGGTTGCTTGACATTTCCGTTGCCAACGGGAACGTTCACTCCTCCATATACTTGAATTGCTTGGTCAAGCTCCATGGGTAGCAAAGCATTTGTGACTGCGGTGTGTAATGCACCGGCGACTTGAGAATGCTCGGGAGTTGACATTCGGAGAATCAGGCTATGCAGGGCCTCGTTGTAGAATAAACGAAGACCAGCGATTGGGTCTGGGAGCAAAAACTCTTGGTCGAAAGAGGAGGGGTCAATGAAAATCACGAAGTATTCGGATATTTCGAGGTTGGGCTTGGATGGTTCAGACCTGGGATGGTATAATGGGCCTAGGCGGTCATATTCAATTTTTAGGATTTGATGGAGTTGCTCCTTCCCTTCGTAGCTGTATCTGTTGGTGGAAGGAGGCAGGTCGTCCAGAAAGGCTTCCACGTCACTTCCATGAGATTCAGTCATTGTGAAATATTACTTTCTTTCCTATGAGTAGATTGATTATGGGGCAGAAGCAGATGGCTAAAATACAGAAAATCCGATTAGGATGTGAACATTATCTATCAAGTGATCAGGTTCAATTACCTCATAATGAGCGTATATGCGAAGCATTTGTAGGCTCCCGTACTGGCCGGAACTAGAAGGTTTGGAATGAGGTTTAGAAAGATGTTTAGAAGGGGGTTTACATGGTTTGCAAAGGGCTTTGGAAAGAGCCTCAGAAAGAGGTCAATATCCGAGGCTGATTGATATTCGTATGTAGTTCAGTGGACATAAAAAGACCCCACTGGTGGCCGGTAGCCGCTTAGTTGTGGCAATGCTAGAGGTGAGATCGAACTTTTATCCTTCGCACATATAAGCAGAGACAATCGAGAGCGGGCCAATCAATTATCAGGTATGAGCGATAGGTACGAGCTATATGATATGCTGGAGAACGTGGTTCCTGTGGCGTATCACCAATGGTATGGTTTGTGATGACACGCTTTTGTATTGACACGTAGCTCAAATGCATTGCATAAAGAAGTTTATATTTGAACTCTGGTAACGGGGTCCTTTTCAGACAGACCCCCTGTGTAAGAAATGCCCCTGTGTGCCCCTGTGACTGTGAATCATGCCTGGGTTATAACTCATTACTCAGGTGCTGGTAGACTAATTGTTTAGATTCAAGTATTTTTTGTGTCTTTCTTCATCTCAGCGGCGATCCCTTTTGCTTTTTTTCTATGAGCTACTAATGGATCTTACTATAGCTCGGATCACAGCTTCCTTTTCGATGCCTATTGTGGGCTAGGTCTTGGGTGTCCATCATTATTTCGTTTTACCAAATATTACAGGCGTGCTTTCCACGACGTGCTCTGTCAATGACTGGAAACCTCGTCAAATAGCTCGACGACCTCCTGGGCGTAGCCATACGAGCCCAAATAACCCCACAAGTCATGACCGTAGTTATGAACGATCCATGTATCTTGACCCAAGTGCTCTTTCTCAATTCTCTCTCCACCATTTTGAGATATGACGATGGCTATTTTGTCCATCACAGCTGGAGAAATTATGCCTGACACTGTGGAAGCAACATCGGGGATATTCTTGGTTGTGACGGAATAAAGTCAAAGGGCGCTGCTTCGCCCGTCGAAATGTCGGGGACCGCTCTGGTGACTATGCGATATCAGAATTACCGCGACTGGCATTTCGCTAACCACGTAGGAAAAACCCACTCATTGATGTTTCCAGGCTTCAATCCAGCCCCATTGAACCAAATCAGTATCGATCTTATTCTTCACCACGGCATCGTAGTTCGAGCGCATCATAGCCCTAACTTAAGCCAAGCCTCCAAAGCATACGCCGCTATGGTGCCAATTCCACTTATGCAGACTACCAAACTCTACTTTTAGCCATGATAGTTTGCGATTGACCGAGGGACGAAAAAAAAGATCTTTTTCGGTTCACCAACGTCCAGCTTTCCGCAAATAGAAAGCAGTGGTCACTTATATGCCTTTAAAACAACCACTGTGGATCACCGAGAAATGCCACAAGCGTCCCAAGTTAGTAAAGACCTGGCCAGAATCAATTGATAACAGGAATATAATTAGTAAAACACTCTTCCACACCTGGGCACAGTCGTAGGCCTCTCGCAAGTTTTAAGGAAGTGCTAAAGGAAAACCAACAGTCCGAGCCTTATGCCATTCATTTCTGACTACTTCAGGTTGGTCTCATATAGAAAGACCTTTGACTTCACAAATTAGGTGGTACCGTGCAGACTCCATAAGATTCTTGGGGGAGCAGTAAAAGAAGAAGGACCATGTTGCGGACACACGTCATACATCCACTCAGCAATTCCATGCATTCAATCCAAACAAATAATAAATTAATAGTTATGCCTAGTTGCGCTTTTTGAAAACTCACCAGTTCTTGAAAGGCGCCCGCACAAGTCATTGATAGCTATAATAGGCTGAGAGCACCGCTGGTTGGGATGAGCTGTAAGTCGAATTTCGTTGTCACGACTTGAGTGTCATCACAATCTAAATGAAAGAAAGAAGGTTACATGAAACGAAATAATTAATACAATTGAAAGTTAACAGTCTAATTGCAGTAGCCTAAAACTCCGGCCACTGCTCTAGTTCAGCTCCACCAGATCCACACACTTCGACACCTCAACCGCATCCTATATCAAACATTAGCCATAAAATCAACTTCCACCTCCCAAGTGGTCAAAAAGCAAGGAAACCTAAAACTCACCATATGCCCTGTTGGCTCCAATTCCTCCACCAACGCCGTTTCATACACCAAAAACGGATTCCCCAACGAAATGCCCCCGTCTGAAAGACATCCCTTGAACGGTAAATACGCTTCAGTCTTTTTCTCCGGCGAAGCCCGCACATACTCTGAATACTGTGGGTTTCCAGGTCTCTTCATATCGTCCGCGACGACCATGGATCCAGGCGCCACGAGGCCCAACTCCTCGCATAGCTTCAAATCATTTAGATACGAGATCTTGGAGTGATCAAGAAACACCATGTCCCAGGGCTTCGTGGTGGAATTACTAGTCTTTCTGTTCGCGAGACGCTGGAGAGACGCGCGGCATGGTCCTTCCCAGATATCGACGACGTCGTCTAACCCAGCGATTGAGACCAGTGCCCTCGAGACGGCGGTGAACTTGGGATTCATTTCCAGACTTAAGAACCTCGGGGCTTGGGCGTGGCTGCCTGTTGCGGTAGCGGCTTTGCGGAGAGCATGGCCGAACATGATGGCTGAGTAACCGATGTAGCCTCCAATTTCGAGGATGGTGGACGGTCGATCGGTGGCGATGATGTCGGTGATGACTTTGCCTTTGTGAGGGCCAACATTCATGAGGAAATCCCTGGTGCGACCGAATTCGTCGATGGCGGCGAGGACGGCTTCCGGGGAGTTGCGGATTTGAGGGAGTTGGGGGTGGTTGGAGATGAAAGAGAGTAGTTGGTCTTCGCGGCCGTCATTGCACTGTCTCTAAGGTTAGAGCTGCCAATGGGGTTATATGGGGGATAGTGTAGTTATGGATTGGGGTTGGGATGGGTTTCTTACGAAGACATCTTCTTCGGGTTTGTAGAAACCGGTGGGTGAATCGATGCTAGGGGCCATTTTGGAAGATGGGAGGGGAGTTAGTGAAGGGAATTTGGAGACAGAATATTATATGTCAATATTTTAGAGCGTATAATTCTACACACCCCAAGTGTTACAATATCTTTTATATATCTAAACCTAGACGGGTAGATGGGTATGTCAAGCCGCATTCGGGAAGACGAATTAGGGCTAGATACTATGGATGCAACGCTGATCTGCCCGACCATGGCATTATTGGATCTAACCGGGGAATATGACATTTTTAATGTGGTACTGTAATAATTTGTACTAATGTATATTCTAAAATGTCAGAATATGACGCAGACCACACCTGGATGGACTGCGTGGAAGCTTATTCCGGATTGATCATGGAGTACTAATATGCGTAATGACTGCTTATGCCAAGATAATAGCAACACATTAATTCAACGACTTGCAACTTTCTTCAGCCGACTCAGGTTGGGCAATGATTTCAAGTTTCACCAACATGGGCGACACGGTTCGAACCGACGTTCTTATCGTCGGGGCCGGTCCGGCAGGGTATGTTGCTATATCCGCTGTGATTCCTGCAAGATCATTGACTCTCGTCGGATAGATTAATGGCTGCCGCATGGATGGCTCAAACGGGTGTGCAAGCGATGATAATTGACCAAAAGTCGCATCACACGCGATGCGGTCGCGCCGACGGGCTAGAAAGCCGAACATTGGAAATCCTAGATAGCTTTGGCCTTGCAGACAGGGTCTGGGCAGAAGCGAACCATACGGTAGAAATTGCCTTATGGGTAAGTGATCTTCTTCATACAACGGTTGTTCGTGGATTATGGTCAGGGTATATCTGACTCTTTGGTTTAGGGCGGCACAGTCGACGGAAAACTCCAAAGACAGAGCGTTACTGCGAATTCACAGCCCGGATGGTCCCGATTCTATGAATCCACGCTCAGCCAAGCCAAAGTGGAAGAGTATCTCATGGAATATGTCCGGGGCCGTGGGAACGTTGAAGTCAGACGAGAGACAACTCCAACCACTTTAGAGATCGATTACGATACGATCGATGACCACAGTAAGTTTCCAATTCGCATGAATCTAGAGAGCATGGCTTCTTTGCCGAAGCCTTATTTCAATGGGATGGACACCCCCGGGAGTGATACGAGCAGCGAGCCATATTCGGATGATTCCGGATATGCAGGGATGGACACCGTGGTAGAAGCCAAATATATCGTGGGATGTGACGGAGCGCACAGCTGGCTCAGAAAACAGCTCGGGCTCGAACTCGAGGGAGAAAGCTCGAGTGACTTTTGGGGGGTTTTGGATATTATCCCCCTCACTAACTTCCGTGAGTTCTGCCCTGTTGGATATCTCATTGCGCTTTGCTAAAGAAAAGTGAACTGTGTGCAGCCGATATACGGAAACGGTCCATTGTAAAGACAAAGCATGGAACTCTCATGATGATCCCGCGGGAGAGAAAGCTTGTCCGTATCTACGTTGAGCTCCACCCAGATGTGGCCGCGCGATACAGGGAAGAACAAGACGGCGAGGTCCTCATGAACGAGGTTGAGAAGATCATGTGGCCATATATAATGAAGACGAAACATATCGACTGGTCCACGGCATACACGGTACGCACATCCACAGCATCCACCATATACTGCGTCATCCCGAAAGCTAACAAACACCTTTAGGTTGGCCAGCGGGTCTGTCGAAAAATTGGGCTTCATAACCGCATCTTTCTTGCCGGTGATGCGATCCACACGCATTCCCCCAAATCAGGCCAAGGAATGAACGTAAGCATGCAGGATACGTTCAACCTCGGCTGGAAACTCGCCTCAGTCATCCAAGGCACCTTGCACCCTAAAATCCTCGAGACATACCAACAAGAGAGGCTACCTGTAGCCGAACGATTGATCGCACTCGACCAGCGGATCTGCCGTGGAATGTGCAGCCGCAGGGATGTGGACAATGAAACAAGCCACGGTCACTTCCATGAGGACCACAAGCGAGCAATGGAGCAAGAGAACTCGTCCGCCTCGGGCCTGGCCGTGATTTACGAGCCAAATCTACTCGTGGCATCGACTACGCCTTGTGTGGCAGGGGCCAAGCCGGCAAATGATGAAATGGCGCTCAGCCACAGCAAGCGTTCTCTGGCGACAAACATCCAGGTCGGAGCGCGGATTCCAAGCATGCTGATCATTAACCAGAGTGACGCGCAACCATGCCATTTGCAGCAGATCTTGCCCAGCACGGGGCAATGGAATCTGATCATTTTCGGGGCTGATATTGCGAATCCGCGCCAAATGTGGCGTCTCAGCCACCTGGAAGAAACCCTCGGTCAGCCCGAATCCGTCATTCAGAGGCTAAACAATCAGGCAAGCATGACGAGACGTGGGGTTGCATGTGTCGGAATGTACCTGGTCCACTGTGCAGACAGACTCGGCATCGAACTTCAGGATCTGCCGACGATCTTCCGTCCTTGGACGGAGGACCGAGGAGTGGACTACAGCAAGGTATGGGTGGATGAAGAAGCGTACCACCACACTGGCGGAGGTCAATTGTATAAATCATTTGGCATTGGACCCGAGGGCTGTATGGTGTTATTGCGACCGGATCAGCACCTGGCGTTTATATCGGACATGGATGATGTTAAGGGATTGGAACGATTTTTGATGTCCATCACGCCGGAGGAATGTCGGGCTCCTGAACACTGTTAAGACTTATCATAGCTAGAATAAAATGCTACAGAAAGGTTTAATCTGAAATTGGATTCGAAACTGACACAAGTCGACGGTAGATAACAAAGCTCTCAGTCGTATAGACTATTTGTGCAAACCAGCCGCTCTGATGCGTTCGAGAAATTCTTCCAAATCGTGCGAGTCTCCTGCACCGATAGTGATTGCAGCATGGCTGAGACGACTTGACTCGCCATAGACCCAGCCACTCACGATCAGACTACCATTGCGAATCTCGTCTGCAAACTTTTTCTCGAATTCATCTCGAGAACAAGAGAAGTCGACCATAGTCATCGCGGCCTCAAACAGCCTACGCTGGGTAAAGTGTCCCGTGAGAGGGCCCAGATGGAACGTACCGGTGACCCGGACATTGAGGTCAACAATCAACTGTTTCCCCGATCGTTCATCAGTGATGATGTCCACACCAGCCGGTCCATGATATCCTTTGCTATGCAAGAAAGCTGCCGCCTTCTCCATAGTGGCGGCAAACCTCTCACAAAGTCCCGTCTGCTGCCGGTACGAGATTAAGCCGCCGATCCAATGTCCCTGGTCGTCGAAGATCTGCTTGCAGCAAGCAATAAAGCGGGGCTGCCCCTTCTTTGTGACGAAGAGCGACAGTGCCACCACTGGCCCATTAATAAAATCCTGAAGCACCAAGGAACAGGGATATAGGTGTTGATTGCATTTGTTGAGTTGCTGTAACATTGCTCCTAATTGCGCCGTGAGGATATTCTTCACTTGATCCCTTTCAGCTTCCGTGGTGATCGCAAAGGTACCCATGCCAGAGACGGACTGTGGAAGCTTGACCATAAAGGGGAGTTGACGCTGGCCAATTGAGTCCACAATCCTTGTAACCTCTTGTTTCAAAAGAATCGGGTCCCCTGAGTCGATAAGACAGGTGTCAATCACCTGGGATGGGGGTGTCGCCAAGCCAGATATAGCAAGCCCACGTTTCGACAGGATCTCGTAATGGATCTCCGGCTGAACAAGATGAGGCAGATGCGACAGACAGTCTATAGGGAGTAAGACGGCAATCTGTCCTCCAGCGTCTAAATATATACTTTCCGGGCTGCTCGCAAAAGTCAAATTCGGCTGTTGGTCGGACATTAACTGGGCGAAGGTCCGATGGATATCAACGTGGTGAGCGGGTAACTTGTCTATGATTTGACATGTTTTGTGATTCGCTTCTTTGCGGTTGTTTTTGGAGTCAAAATCCAGGATAACCAGCGGCATCTTGCCGGCGGAGAAGGCATACCGCTGGGGCACCATGTTCGCCGCATTTTGAAACGAGGATGCTGCTTTTTCATCGCCATCTTGCAATGTATAACCATAGGAAAATTTTGTCGATGATTTTTCATGATTATACCCGAATTGCAGAGGATAGTAGATAAGGACCATGTTTAGGTCATCTTCATTGTTGTCTGAGTAGAGGTCGCGCAGGGTATAGTCGAGTTTGATGGGAACTGCGGGATCCATTTTTCGTTGGCCTGTCTTCCTATTCAGTAGAGTACAATTGGAAGAGGTTTTGGCAAAGGGTTCGTGTGGAATTTATGAAGAGAGCCTTTTATCTACGTCTAGCATCTGTCTGTGGTACCGTCCGTTTTCGGAAGTATGGCGATGTGACCTTTCAGACGCGGATACAGATAAATTTATCTCTCGGTGTAGCATTCTAGCGTTTAACGTTATTACCGCTTATTCCCTAAATTCTTGCTATTTCAATATATATTCTATAGTAAGGGGTGGATAAATCTATAGGGGTAGAAAAAAAAGATATAAATACAGCTTTATTTCTAGGCATAAAGGTATAAGACAGTTCTACACTTCGACTCAGTTCATATACACTTTGGGAAACATTCCATTATCCCAGAATTTATATGCTGCTTAGTATACTATCCTTTAGTGTATTATTCAACACTCGAAAGCTCTGTTATTCCGAAAGGAATTATATTAACGGAACAAGACTGGTAAATGTATTGTTTGAGTATTTTTGTAGATCTTTGAACTGCTTATGTATTAGAATATCAATTAGTTATTTCTAAAGGCTAGCTGCGTTATTTTTACGTAAATATATGTAGTGTCTATAAGATACACATGTAGTGTTGTGTAGACGATGTAGATGTCCGACGTAAAGAACCGTTCAGCCCGCCACCACCTCTGATTGGCCCAAACCCAACCTCAAACCGCGACAAGAGAACCTCCCTCAATTTTCAATCAACACCACAACCCACCACATAAAGCCAAATATTACTATCCCCTCAGTCGCGCATCACACTTCAACTCCGAAAAAGGGAACGAAACCTCCACATCCACACCCACACGTAATACTGATCGACCACCGCCCCTCTTACTCCGCACGCCGCGCACGCCGCACACGCCTACCAGCTCCGCGAGCCCCAATACCTCTACAAGCAACACGCCACACCACCAAAAGAGGAGACTCTGGATAGTCCCATCCTACCTGCGTCCCCAACACCAGCGCCGCAAGGATGGTGGGCGACGAGTACTCCGTCGGCGGCGGCAAGCTCAAATTGAAGGGGAGTAAAGTCAGTGGAGGACGGATAGAGAAGAAAAAGAAGAAAAGCACGAAGAAAAAGGAGGTTGATGCGATGCAGCCAAAGCCGGAGTCAACGCCTGATACGGATCGGCCAGAAAATGGAAAGGATGAGGGTGTGAGGTCTGAGGAAGACAGAGAGAAGGATTGGGATGCGCCTGGGAAGACTGAGGCCGAAAAGAAAGCCGAGGAGATTCGGCGGAAACGGGTATGTTTGTCCCTTTCACTTTACTTTCTTTTTCTTAGTCTCTTTGTCGGGCTCGGGCTTTTTCTATTTCGGCTTTGTTGTACAGAGAAACTGACTTTTCGGGACAGTTGCATGAGCGGCTCCAGCGCGAAGGTGTCAAAACTCATAAGGAGCGTGTGGAGGAGTTGAACAAGTATCTCAGTCGGCTCAGTGAACATCATGATATGTATGTCTTACTCTTTATTACTCTTTATACCTTTGTCCGATTTCTTTGGGCATTGAATAACTATAAGCTGACTTTGTTAAATAGGCCGAAGATTGGACCGGGCTAAATGGGTTCTACGGTGTTTCAAATAGGTTTCAGAGCGATCACATAATTTTAGTTTTAAGAATACCATATCTGTACTTGTACTCAATACGTTTCTATCCAACTGTAGTAATGGCTGTCAAGGATCCGCCTTGTTTCAGATATTGAAATTACTCCACCTTAAGTATATTTGTCATGTGATAATAAAGGGGGTTCAAGATTTCTCGAGATATGTATAGTTCGTGGCTAAAATGACCCAGAAGAGCTCTATTCAGCAGTCCCCGAAAAGAGGTATGCCCAAAATGCGAGATAGCAACGGTGGCAGAAGCAGATAAGCAGGTAAGTGGTAAATACCAAAAGATCAGAGGGAAGATGTCAACACCAAGAACAACGCCATGCAAATGAAGACCAAAGCCTCGAAACCAAACAAGCCGTAGCCACAAAAAAAAAAGGAAAAAACGAATCCGATCTAGATATAGATCACAGACAGCCAGACAAAGGAAAGACGAACCCCAATCCCCGGAAATTCAGAGAGAAGAGTAATAAAGAGTAAAGAGTAAAAACGAAACACCGCGCTAAATCCAAGATGACTGCAGAGGCACGCAAGAAAGGAAATAATCGGGTCGAACCGAATCGAAGCCAAGCCTAGCAGGGGTAGCACCTGATCGGTCGAGGCAGGCAGATAAGATAGGGGGGGTGAGGAGGCGAGACGGCCCTAGCCTACATCGACTAGGCTAGATCATCCTCAGGGGATGGCGCCATCCATCTCCCCCCTTTGTTCGGCCAGGAGAAAGAGCTCAGAACCAGCGACTAGTTCTCATTCTGCTTGTGTTGTCCCTGTTCTCATACGCCCTTGACAACAACGGTACGTTCGCTGTTCAGCTTATCGGCGTTGCGGGCGTGTGATTCTTTCTTGCAGTCTTCCAGTCCGGTGCAGGAGTGGGCTTCCAACATGCGGTGCTTGGAGCAGAAGTGGCCGGCGCAGAAGCTGCAGTCACCGACGATACGTTGGGCGGCTTCCTTGCACTCCTTGAAGTTGCAACGGGGCTTGCGGGGAGGCATTGTGGTTGGGGTTGTTGGGGGTGGAGCCGGTATAGAGAGAGGGGTGGTATAGAGGTACTTCTGCGGAGAGGGGGGAAGTAGGGAGTAGAAGTAGGTTGATTGTGAGATGCTGAGGAGAGGGTTTGAGATAAGCGCCGTTAAGTGCGGAGGCGGGGAAAGAGAGAATCCAAGTAGAGGAAAGTTGTAAAAGGGGGAGGAAGGGAAAGAGGGCCAGCACGACCAGCCTATATATAGGGCAGTCGGAAGACACGGGAGAAAGCCAAAGAAACAGACTTCTAACCAGAGACGGGGCTGACTCAGTGAGGCGACAGTGACGGAATCGAGAAGTGGAGTTGCCCAAAGTTATGCTGTTGGGGCTAGGCGATTTGGGATGGACTTAGTGGATTTTAGTTCATTTTTAGTGGATTTTAAGTGATTTAATGGAATTATTACAATTAATTGGTCTTGATATTGGACATTATTCGACCCCGTTAGGTGATTTGAACAAACTATACCTTGGAAGGCGAATAGGATCCCCTATACTTTGACTGGACCGACCTCGGGATATACTATATATTACTTAAAAAGACTTTTTAAACATTTTTTCAGACTTTTTTTTTTCTTTCTGTTTCTACTTCTTTCATTTTTGATTTTTCTCTTTTGACTTTATCGGATTCTTCTGCATCCCACGCGGACGTATCACCCAGGCGCCTGGTCTCGGGCCCAATGATCGGAATGTTGAATTGGCCGTGCATTCAAGGGAGCACCTTCACGTGATGATTCAGGAGTCAGGTGTACGCAAAACTATAGTCTCTCAACTCACGAACTCACTAGTTAATTAGTTATGGAGTGATTAACCCCTAACTCCTATAGTTGAATTAGACTTGGAAGAGAACCCAAATATCGGTCTGCCGTTTTACCGCGCCACCAAAGTGGCAAGATGTTCGCCCGGACTTCTCCCACTGCGGTACTCCAGGGACTTATCTTTTACTATATCATACAGAACATGGAGTACATAGTGTCCAATAATTCCACTCAATCCAATGCAAGAGGGAGGGAAAAAAAAGACATGCAAGCGGACGAAAGGAGCTATGACCTCTGCAGCGAGTGAATTGTAGCGAGTGAACTGTCTGCGATACAAATCGATGAGTCGCCTGAGCCAAGCCCGCCTAGGTACGACGGATGATCCGCGTGGAGCTATTGCATCGGTAACAGCATATGCAGGACTATATACATAGTACTCCTTAAGTACGGAGTACGTGTGATGCCATCTGTATACATTTCCCGGGTTAGGCCTAAAGTGAGGGCCGATCCCGCTACCCAATTTCACCGTCTCTCTCCACATATCCCCCACCGTCACTTTATGTAGTAGGATACTACTCCGTATCTGCCCACGGATCCCTCGCAGACACACGCTAAACGGTACAAATCAGAATCCTACCACGTTGACACGCTCTACGCGGGCTACGTGTTCGTGATCAATTCTAAATAGCGACTAGCGTGGATTGGTTTCATGATATGTCCACTGGTAAGGTTTGAGAACGGGGAAAGGCAAAAAAGAAAGGAAAATGTAAATGTGAATGAAACCCCGTGGACGCCGGCGCAGACACCGATGATGCGCTCAAACCCCCTTACCCTGCCCAAATAGCAAAAGAGAGAAAGAAAAAAAAATCCAAGGAAAGGGCGAGGAATGAAATCTTCGCATCTCATATCATACCCCAGGGTCGTTTGCCTTGCCTGCATCTGGATCCAGATAATCCTCTCGCTCGGCTGCCTCGTACTCACCGATCAGATCCATCACAACCGCACGTGCCTCGTCAAATTCGCCAAGTCCGTCAGCAAATGGCGCTTCCTTCTTATATGAATCCAAGAAGGCATTGCGCTTGCGGAGCATGTCGTAGTGCTTCACAATGCGCTTGAATAGGGTCGCGACAGAGGTGTGGTTGGCCAACATCAGCCCACTGACGCGGTGGCCGGTTTCCTCGATATACGGGGATTTCTTCGTTAGAGCAACCTGGATACTGGCAGGGCCCCAGGGGATGAAAGAAGCGAGGCGACGCTCCCGAATACGTAGCAGTGACTTGTGCACGTCGGTCGGGTCGGCTTCGCCCTGGATGATGTTGAGGATGCTGATGTAGCAGCTGGATTTGCTGGGGTTGACGGAGACCATGCGGTTCTTGGGCTGTAGAAGGCGACGCATGACGTCTAGCACAGTTGTCTTTCGCACTGTCCTGGCTTGCTCGATGTTGGCGCCCGTGAAAGGTGTGTATGATGTGAGAAGGAAGTGGCTGCGTGGGGTAGGGATGAGCGAGGCGATGATCCCGGCAAGATCGTTGTGCATGTACCCAGGGTATCGTAGTGTGGTTGTAGATGCAGACATCACCGTTGAAACGAGTTGGTTCGTTTGGTGGAACGAGGGCTCTTGAACGTGGAGCCGATCGGCGACAATTCGTGACAGAGCACCATTGTCGAGGACGACCACAGAGTCAGCATCCTGGGTCAATCGTCGCATGGCAAGCAAACTGTTGTAAGGGTTGACGACGACATCGGACTGTGTGTCCGGGAAGACAGAGTAGGTTTGGATGAGTTTCTTCGGGAATCGATCGTTCATGCGCTCCAGGATGAAACTTCCCAGTCCGGAGCCTGTTCCTCCTGCGATCGAATGTAGAAGCATAAATCCCTCTAGTGAGTCACTTCCGTCTGCTTCGCGGTCGATCATATCGAAAATCTCCTCTTGTACGCCCTCGCCTGCAGCATATCCGGTACCCCAATTGTTTCCAGCTCCGATACCTTGTTGTCCGACGAAGAAGTTCTCGGGGTTGTAAATATTCTTGTAAGGGCCAGTTTGGATGGCGTTGAGGACCTGAAATCAACCTGTATGTTAATCATCTTGTGTCGGCGTGATATATCGGTGAAGGATAGCATACCCTGGGTTCTAAATCGAGGAGAATCGCTCGAGGGATGTACCTTGTGTCGTCACTCTGCCCACGTCTGTTAGCTAGTGTTCTTGCGATGTCATCTGGCTGATAATGTGCTCTTCCAAGCTTCCTATACACACCTGGTAGAAGAAGACATCTTTGCGATCACCGGCCGCCCCGTCGGTCGCATGCTCTTCCAAGTTTCCATCTGCGCTGATCCCATGCTCCTGGCAAAGCTGCTGCCAAAACTGACTGCCGACTAGATAGAGCAAATGTTAGCGATGTGGAATATATGTCCTCGTGCTCCGTACAAAAGAATAGGATCAAGGGTCTCGTGGAATGGATCGCGGAGTTGAGCCACATACCGTTGTTGCCGCACTGGCCGGCTTGAATTGTGATGATTTCTCTGCAATTGCCAACAATATTAGCATCGGTATTCAAGCTGGAGAGAGAGTCCTCAGTTATTATCGAGTCGACGGAATGAACAAACCTTGGCATCTTTTCTTCACAGAAGCCGTCGAGTGTTGCTGCTCGTTAACGCGTATCGCGTTCACGCGGGGAACTTTTTGGCCGATATTTTTGCCTCAGGCAGAAGCTCTTGCTACCCTATGTGTTAGACAGCAACAACGTTTTAATGGCCTGTAAAACAAATTTGTCCTAGAATTAAAGTTGACTAATCAGATGTTTATATGCTTTTGAATCCGCCAGCTATGCTAAAATTTTCGATAGATCGTCTTCCCCAAGTGATCTATCTGATTGCCCAACCATCACCCTGGACCACTATATCACTCAAAATCCTGCCTTCAAGGCTGTAATGAGGTTTCCAGCACCGGCAACTACGCCATCGACAATTCGTACCCGTTGGCCTTCCGGGTATCCATATTCCTGAGTACATCCCTCCCGTACCGCCTCCTCCATGCCAGCCATACCTGCACAGCCAAGACAAACAACCTTGACACGAGATTCCGAGTTCCGAAGCAGGTTGCGGGTAGCATCGATGATCCTCCGTCGAACCTCCTCAGGTTCTGTAGTGTGGAGTTCGACTGCCGTCAGACCTGTGGTCTCGACGCCTGCAAAGTGCATGGAGCTTCCGTCCTCATAGTCGTAACCAAGGGCTCCCTGAACGGCATTGGTGAGCTCCTCCTTCCACGCGGAGCCAGTGGTCACAATTCCAAAGCTACCTTTCTCTTGGTACTTTTGTAGCTTCTCTGTTGGATTGATTGGATCTTGCAATGCGAAACCACTGACCAAGGAGAATGCAGCTGTGATGGATGCTTCAAATATTCCAGTGACATATTTGTTTCTCATCGAGCTCGCTTCTTCACTTGCCGCGATATCCTCCCTAAGTCTGCCGACAAATGGATGCGCAGAGTAACACGCTACAAGAAAGGCGTCGTAATGGCCGGTCAGCTCTCGTACGGGCCAGCAATTCAATGCCGACTTGCACGATTCTTCGGCGTTATTGATGCTGGCGATTGGCTCAATTTCGACTCCGTCGATTTCCATAGTGGAGTCTGGAGCAGTGAAGTACTCGAAGTGTACATCTTGGTAGTTCATGCTAGCCAATATAGGCTTCAGGGCTTCGGTCATGTGCGTTGAGGTATTGGGATTGATGATCAATATGCTGTAATTCCGTTCGCCTTTCCTCGGATCCAGCTGAATGATTTCGTTTGTGCCATATCGCGGCTCAAGGGCGAGACCCATCTTTAGAACAATAAGGTGAATCGAATAGACAACAGGAAGCACAGTTCTTTGCTCCGGAAGAAATTATTCCCCGCGGAGACTGCGATGAGCTCCGTTATCCGTTATCGGGATCCTCCGTAACCCCGCCATCTCCAATGAGCTTAGCGGACTATTTCTTTCAAGGGCCTATGTAGGGGTATGATGTATGTACATTGGGCCAATACTACTCGCCGAGGGAGATAAGCTTAGCAGTATATTGACTTATCCTTGCAAAAAATTCTTGGAATTTATTCAAAGGTTATCAATTGACCACGGCTTACAAATCCAGAGCACCGTCCAGGGCTGGGCCGGCTCCAGGGCATAGTATAAAAGAACCACTCCACCCAGAAGCCCCGCCATTCCTCGCACGTCATCACACTTTCAACACACCTCGCATCCGCGGAACAGAATCCAATTACCGCCATGCCTCTGATCGCGCAGAACCCCCAGCCGAGAGTGATTCTCGGGTTGATGACCTTTGGCCCAACCGAGGCCAAGGGTGCTCGGATCACTTCGTTGGATGAGTACAACAAATGCCTTGATTACTTCCAGCAGCAAGGGTTCAATGAAGTCGACACCGCCCGTATCTATATCGATGGAGAACAGGAAGCATTCACAGCCAAAGCGAACTGGAAGGAGCGTGGACTAACTCTTGCCACGAAATGGTACCCGCATCAGCCTGGCTTCCACAAGCCGGAGGTTGTCCGTGAACAACTGGAGCTTTCTCTCAAGGAGTTGCAGACCGATACAGTTGATATTTTCTATCTGCATGCAGCAGATCGCGCCACTCCGTTCGCTGAAACTCTCGAGGCTGTTAACCAGCTGCACAAGGAGGGCAAGTTTGTACAGCTTGGTCTCAGCAACTTCACAGCCTTTGAAGTGGCGGAGATTTCAATCCTTTGTGCTGAGAGGGGATGGGTTCGTCCCACCATTTACCAGGCCATGTATAACGCCATTAGTAGGTGGTACCCTTCTTTTGCTTTCAACATATGAAACCATGGCCATTTAGCTGACACGATTGATAGCGCGCAACATCGAGACTGAACTCGTCCCTGCCTGCCACCGGTACGGTCTCGACATCGTCATCTACAACCCGCTGGCCGGTGGTCTGTTCTCTGGAAAATACAAGTCACAAGATATCCCCGCCGAAGGCAGATACAGTGACTCGAGTTCTTCGGGACAGAATTATCGCAAACGTTACTTCAGAGATGCCACCTTCGAAGCTCTGAGTATCATCGAGCCTGTCGTAGAGAAACACGGTCTCACACTTCTGGAGACCGCTCTGCGCTGGGTCCGCCATCACTCCGCTTTGAGAATCGATAATGGCGGTCGTGATGGAGTCTTGGTGGGAGTCAGCAGCTTTGCACAGCTTGAGACTAACCTTGCAGATCTTCAGAAGGGTCCGCTTCCGGAAGAGGTCGTGCAGGCTTTGGATCAGGCATGGCTGGTTGCCAAGGCCAATTCTCCCAATTACTGGCACCTTGATCTGAAGTATACTTATGATACTCAGAAGGCGATATTTGGGCCCAAGGAGTAAGATAAAGGAAAATATTAGAGGTATTTCATAGGAACATTGTACATGAATGATAACTAGTGAAAACAAATAACAATTCGAGGAACTTTAAAGCTATCTAATATGGTCCAAAATTTCTATCATACTTGGGATATGGGAGCTGGGATAATTAGACCAGTGAATCTTATTACCGTACATCGCAGAAGCATCTCTGCCTCCAAATCCTAAAATAGCCGAATGACATAGTTGCATACGCTAAATCTAATCCGGTATAGCGTGTGCCCGATCGAGATCACGTGCAGTAACAGGGGTCCACAAGTGGATGATGACACCTGAAGGCGGTCATTTTGTTACGCCTCATTGGATTTCCCGATCGTCTTCAACCTATATGTTTCTGCTTTGATTCACATCCGATACAATAATCGTTACCCAGCGGAGTGAACCTACCATTCAAACTACAAATACTCCCGATCGGTGCCGAGTCGCATGTATCCTGTGAACGGTTGTGCAGCAGCGATTGAACACGTGGGAATAGACTCCATGGGTACCCTTTTCCGGGACAATAAACTCTAGCCACTTTATCTGCATCATCTGGATGGGTGATCGTTCGATATTCCACGCGTCAGCTCCTTCACCTTATCTTTCTCCGCAACCGCAGTAAATTGGACAAGAACACCCCTGGCGGCGGTATTCATGTCGAGGTAGTTAAGCCGACTAGCACCTTCCCCAACCATCGCCGTTGTGGCTTCCGATAATATCGAGCTCTCCGAGCCCCGGGTAGCCTCAACCCCGGACGCAGTCCACGACTCCGACTCTGACAACGACATGGTTGTTAATCGCCCCCCATTACACCGACCAACAGACGGGCGCTCGCAGCAACCCCTTCTCAAAGATGACCGCCATCGCCGGTCTCACTCCCACTCGAGTATCGGGAATGCTGACGCCGAAGGCCGCCCTATGCTGCATGAAACCAGAAGGCCGACAATCCGGAGTAAAAGTCCGGAACGCGACGCTGCCAAAGCAACCCGCAAGAAATACCTGGTTGCATCGGGATTCTTGTTGCTCAGTTTGATTAGCTTCGTGGTCCAAACGGAGACCGCTTCATACATTCAAAATGAGTTGCACTGGAAGAAGCCCTATTGCATGCTGTAAGTCCGAGCACAAAGATGCCACCGACAAGCCCATGCGACACCCGCTTTCCGGAATACAAACGCTTACCACTCCCTTTCCCTACGCAGCTATATGACTCACGGGTCGTGGTCCTTGCTGTGGCTGGTCCAGCTAGGTATTCTTCGGTTACAGAAACGAAAACTCACGTGGGATGCTTTCTGGCGGCGCCACGTCTTTTTCCTTCGCACCACTGCGCAGATGGTAGAATCCCAAGAAGTACATCTAAGCACTCGCTCGTCCAATCGATCTCCAGTCCCATATATGTTGAAGACAACCGCCTTTGTAACTACTGCTCTCACAGTCGCTGGAGGATCATGGTACGTGGCAGTCAACATGACCACTCCCAGCGACCTCACAGCAATTTACAACTGCTCGGCATTCTTCGCGTATGCTTTTTCGATTCCGCTGTTGAAGGAAAAGCTGCGGGTTGACAAGGTTTTTTCCGTGGCCGTGGCTACCATCGGTGTTATGGTCGTTGCCTATGGGGATGGGCCAAATAAGAAGGTCTCAAAAGGAGGCACGGATAACACCGGGGGGCAGAACAGATTGCTTGGGAACATCGTTATCGGCGTTGGAAGTATTCTCTATGGGCTTTACGAAGTGCTCTATAAACGCTTTGCCTGTCCTCCGGAAGGTACCAGCCCTGGCCGGGGTACAATCTTTGCCAATACTTTTGGCAGTCTAATCGGGGTTTTCACACTGTTAGTACTATGGATCCCATTGCCATTTTTGCATTGGACGGGATGGGAGATATTTGAGTGGCCGACTGGTGAGGCAGCATGGATGCTGCTCATCTCCGTGGGTGCTAATGCTAGTAAGTACTAAATCAGCGTTTCAACAGAGACACAGAGGCTAACACCAAGATAGCGTTCTCGGGCTCTTTCCTTGTGCTCATCTCCCTCACATCGCCCGTTCTGTCATCAGTAGCCGCTCTCCTTACCATTTTCCTCGTCGCTCTGGTGGACTGGTTCCGAACTGGAGACTCACTTTCTATGGCCTCTATCATCGGAGGCCTTTTGATTACGGTGGCATTTTTCATGTTGAGCTACAGCACGTATAGAGAGATGAATGAGGAGCGAAAGAAGAGTCTCGAGAACGATGAGCTCGAGTCTGACAGCGATGCATAAATGTATCCCTTGCATGGTGTATTTCGGGGTGTTTTTACATACAGCATTCGAATTAGTATTCAGCGTTTCTGACGTATAAAACTTCCATTTATTACGTTATACTTGTTCAAGCATATCGCAATATACATACTATGATACCTTCAAGAAACCGATAGAAGTATTCAATACATCTGAATAAGAAAGCTGCAGATGTAAGAGTTTGGGCAAACCCTTTGGGTTTCCCCAGATTATGTGAATTCCATGGTTCAGCCTTCGATTTATGACCCAGTCCATCTCAACAAAAACCCGACTGTGACGTCATGAATTTTTATATATTTTTTATCTGGGGTATGTCCGAATGATCTTTTCTTTACATAGAACCTTAGAAGGCAGATGGGTTTCCCGTAGATATCGGCATCCCGCATATCCGGACTTAGAGATTAATACGGTGTATGGAGCACTCGTATTTATACTACGTTGTATGTACATTGTACGAGGTAATCTCCTTTTGACTTGGCAATCGCATGGTCCGCGAATCAGATCCACTGCGCAAATTAATCTTCAATGATCATTTTAGGCTACTATACGGTGTGCCTATCGGGTAATCTAAGAGTTCTGATAAATTAGGATGAAGTAGAGAAGACCGGTGAGAAACAAGCGCGAACTACTCGACAGCTCAACTTTTAAAGGTGTAGTACAGATGCATATGCAGACCATTTCCAGATACAAAGCCAGGATCTGCCGTTGCTCCAATTGATTTCACGACGATCAGCCCACAACGATCAGCCCCCCACGACCCCCCGTTAAAGCGGCCATTGTTATTGGGTTAAACAAAGAAAGTGGCCCACCTAACGCTAGGGGGTAAAATAATGTTTCAGAGCGCCAGGAGCGTCCGTTTGTCTTCGGTCTTTCATCCCCTGTCAAATGGCGCTAAGATATGTCTCGCGCCACTATTTATATCCGATCTGACTCCGCAGCCAAGAGAAGCAATGGAGAGTGAAGGTTCGCTTTCAAGTCTGACAATCTCCCGCCAATCCACATAGGAAATGGGACTTTGTCGATAAGAATTTCTTGTGTTCACATACATATTCTTTTCAAGGCCTAGCCTCGGCAATGAACACTCTCTCCCCGACATGGATATCATCCCCTTGACTTGCAGCCCCCCCCAGCGTGGCGCACTATCCCTCCAGGGACCCACCAGGCCAAGCGAGATTTGGATGGTCATTTAGGCCAAGTGATTGGCAGTGATAATACCCGCTTTTTTCTCCGGATGTCACTCCCTGTTGATTGGTGCCTTGAGGACCCCAGGATTGAAATAGATGCCTTTTTTACAAGCACCGTACAAAGCACAGATGTAATGAACCACTTTTTTTTAATGGAAGGAACGCTAACCTTGGAATTGAATACAGGTTATTCTGGTAGCAGTAAAGTCATGACGTCCTCTACTTGGAATCTATTTGATTGCATTTATTCAACAATGATAGTCTAGAGCACGACAGATAGGGGGGATGAAAAGGTCATATTCCTCTAGAGAAAAACCTTCTGTTCCCTGTTCTTTTGGTTTTTTTTTTGACAGATGTCACCTAATCTGGCATCTCCCCCGAGATGTCATATGTACCTGGAATAGAATACTGTATTATGTATTATATCTAAAGATCTCCAGGGGAGAGAACTAAAGTACGATGTACAAGGGACTCATTACCCTTTCTTCATACATATCTTCATACATACATACTATATATCCTATACATACACAAATATATGTAGTAGGAGAGGAAATAGGCAACTCCCACGTATCTACCAATATAAGGTTGAAGCCCTGTATGTAATCTCGTTCTCAATAATTGACCTCGTTGATTGGTTTGCCTCCCCTTCGGATGGCAACGGGTGATACCGTGTATGGTAATGAAGATACAGCCCCATCTAGGTTCCCATCCAGGTTCCCCTCCTGGATTTGTTGTTCTCTTTGGCTTCTTCTCTCTTCAACCTTTCAACGACCAACTTTTCCACCCTCCCCTCTTTGGCCTTCGTCGTGGCCGTCCGTTCATTTTCCATAATTTTGGATACCGCTAGTGGTCGCTTTAATTTGATCTCACTCGTTCCTTTTCTGCCTGGCGCGGATTCAATGACCCTCGCCCAAGGTGTTTAAACTTGACCTCCAGATTCCCGGGCTTTCTCGCTGAAGGGAAGTCGGTCTGGAGGTCTTCGCCCATCTGGATCTCGTCGGGCTTTCGTCGTCACTCCGCTAAAGTTCTTTATTACCGCATCCTTGTTTTTTTTTTTGCCTTCAATCATGGCCTCCATTTCACTTCCTCCGCAGTCCCAGGCGGGCTTCTCGCCACATTTTGACACCTCGAATCAGTCCGCCAGCCCCGATCGTCGCCAACATATGCACACACCATTGCCTAATCCCCCATTTGTCTTTCCAGCACGGGACCCGGACTCCCCCAACACCCAATCGGAGACCCCTGAGCGCCGGGAACGTGCCGCATTGCCTGCATTCTCTTTCAATCCCGGATCCGAACAGCAGTCATCGCACCTCTCAGCGCCGTCCTTGTCGAATCCTCGCGCGGGCGGACACCGTCGGCGACCAAGCGAGTTTGTTGGAACCGACCACTTGGTAATACCGGAAACAGTTGGACCAGGTCACAAACGGGCGTCTTCTATGGCAGATCAACATCTTCCACCTCCAGGGCCTGGTGTGGGTAGGGGTCCTGGACGACGGGGCCATGCCCACCGCCGTTCGGCTGCGATCTCTAATGTCGACTTGAACGCTATCACCAAGGCACTTGGTCCCAATTCTGGCATGGCAAGCGCGCCTTCTACACCCGCCGACCCCAATCGCAAATCTGCATCTGATATTCCTCCGCGACCGGTCTCTCAATCGGGTATTAGCCTCGGCCGCCCTACGCCACCTGCGTCTCCTCAGCTCCCCCCAGTTCCTCCTGTGCCTCCCATTCCGGCTGTCATCCAAGCGGAAATGGCCTTGAACAACCAAGCCTCTAATGCTGAACGACCAATCTCAGCTGCTTCGCATGGTAACTCGGATAGTGTGGCCACAATTAAGGTGCAGCAAGAGGTGGAGAAGCCTACTTTCTCAGATAGGGCAATGCCGAGACCTGACTGCAACCCAAAGCCTCGACCAAAAACAGCCGACGCTTCTTTGGTGATGGATTTTGTGCAGATGGACGACGACTCAGGATCCTCTATCAAACGTTCCCACTCGGCCGCTGGGCACTCCCGCTCCCGAAAGAGCAAATCAACACCGCATCTCGATTCGACTCTTTCGCCCGATGATATTCAGTCGACAGACAACTACCGACCTTCATTTTCGGACGGTGATTCCGATACATCTGGTGATGAAGCGACAGAGCACTCGTCTGACAACAAATCCCCTATCAAGTCGAAAAAGAAGAAGCAGAAGCGTGTTCGCTCTTGGGCCGGCCACATTCTTACCCGAACCAAGAGCAAGGGCAGGGGTAAACGCCATGCAAAGGCTGACACAAAAGAGGAGCCGCCTGTACCTCGCACTCTCGCACCTCGCCCCCCTGCTCTTACTCGAACCAACTCAGGCACCGGGTCGGTTTTAGATGTTGATTTTGATAATGACGATGTCGTTGTCATCCGAACTCCGACCAATCCGACAATGCCTCCTTCTGCCCTTGACCCCATTCAAAATAATTGTCAAACCGATGATGGTTGTTCTTTGCCTGCACAAACTTTAGAAACCTCGTGGAAACCGAGGAGTTTCTATGAACAGGATGTGAGCCCACATGACAATGTACTAAGTAGCCCTATCATCGACCTCGATGCTGCACTTGGTCCTTTCAACACTCCCGACATGCGACCGGTGACCCAGGGTGCGCCCAACAACAACTTTTCGGTTGCAACCCAGAGGATGTACAGCGGCGGAAGACGGGGTGAATTTGTTGGCCCAGAGATGCGATACCATCGGCGCACGGAAAGTGCTCCGGCGATGCAACCATTCGACCGCACTGCTCTCGGCGCATTCCGTTTGGGTCCGACCTCAGTAGTAGAAACGCCCGATGTGTTTGATGAGGAGGAAGAGGATGCCTTCCTGGCTGCCTCCCAGTCACCCAAGGGCGAACGCCTTACCGCAAACACGACATCGATCGACGACGCAGTTTTCTCGTCATCGGAGGATGATGTGAAATCCATGCACAGTAATGCTACCTCTGGCACTAGTGATACTCTGACCCGTGCCCCTACCGGTAGCATTTCCTCTCAGAATGCTGGCTTAGGTATTCGACAAGGCGATAAACATCCGAACCAGGAACAGTCCGAGGAACGAAGTGCCCTTGAGCAGGTACATAATGCCAGCAATCCTTTCGCCAGCAAGCCTCGAACCCCCGTCGAAATTTTGAAGACGGAAGAACCTGCGCATAAGGTGATCGGACCTCCCAGTCCCGACATTTCTCCTCGCTTCTTAGCTATCGACAAACGGCCAGCGACATCACCCATTGAGCTGCTACCTAACATTCCACCGCTCGCGTTACAACCCGGGGTTTCTCCGTCTGACTCGTCTTTCTCGTCTCCGGATGCTCCACGGTCAATTGCGGCATCCTCGATGACTGACCGGAACTTATCCAGTCACTCGTACCATCATCTTCCTTCGGCCGAATATCCTTACGCATCGGTTGAAGATGTTCCCTCTTTGACCAGCAGTGCTTCGACCATGACCAATACTCTGAATCGTTTCTCGGCTGCCTCTTTCTTCCCCCGTGGACGTCTTTCTACTGACCGCGCCGCGTCCTTCTCAGCTGCTGGTACCAGACGCACCAGCCAGGCTAACGCCTCCAAACGCTCTAGTCTAGCCAGCCTTTCCAAGCTGGTCGGTGGTGCCCATTCTGAGCGGAGCAAGCTCAACCAGGAGGAGAAACCCCCTAGCAACGCATCCGACAAAACGAAGAAGAAGGGCCGCCGTCTCAGCCGAATGATGCACTTCTGGAAACCCAAGGACAAAGAAAAGTCATCCAATGAGGCGGCACCAGCAAACGAACGGCCGCAGTCGTAGGCGCGCAGTGCGCATGGTTTTGATGTTTTTTTTCACTTCGATTTACGGCGCAACCTCGGCATAGCGACATCCTGGCAATTATTTTGAGACCTCCCATTACTCCTCTTACTTTTTTCTTCCCCACTTTCGACAGCGTGGGCGTCCTCTTTCACCCGATTTGTACATATTGTGTTTCGTTCGGCTTTCCTGTGGATTCTTTCCCTCCCATCTTCATCGGCGGTTCTATTTTTGCGTCTTCCGCCAAGACGCTCATTACGAATTTCTTTACCTCTCAAGGCGTTCTTGTCTTGAGTATGATCTATCCTTTTTTCTTGTCAATCCTTATGTCCCGGTGTGAGTGACGCACGGATTTATTGACTTTCTCTACGATCATTGCTCCTCTACGGGCTTTTTTCTTACCATTCTTGTTCTGGTTTTGCCCAAGGCCCTTGGCCTGGAATATCATTCGTCCCCATTGGAACTTCCATTGGGTCCCCTTTTTCATCTCTGGGACATGGCTCTCTGTGTATCTATTGTGTGGCTTTGGCGTCTGTACCGCTTACGTGGTGTGTCATTCGCCAAGAATTTGTCTCTGTCCGATTACACAAATAGCGGATAATCAAATCAGTCTCCCAAATTGCATATCATAGTCCTTGCAAGATTTGTGAAGATTTATTTTAAACGGCGGACCTGTGAATCACTGTATCGGGTTAGTTTTGCCATTTTAGGTTTAGTTCTCCAATACGCCGTCACGTAACCTCCCTTCAATGCTCCCGACTTAAGGACCCAACCTCACCCTCTTTCCTTTCTCCATCCCCTCTATCTTGTACCCATCGCCGCCCCCTTTCTTTCTTTCTTTCTCACCTCCGCCGATCACTACGTATTGGCATTCAGCCCGACGCACTACCCCTTTCATTTTACCGGAGATGCCGCTCCATCCGAAGCTCGTTCTGGCCGGCATGGGCTGCCATACCAGTCGCCTAGGAGCAGAACCCCTGGGATGATCCAGCCTGCAGCCGTATCGTTCGGTTTCGTGTCGATGCTCCCTACTATTTTCCAGGGGTGTGACAGTACTAAGTGGATGGTGGTGTAGAGGGGCGGCTGGGTAGGGTACTTGTAGCGCCCCCAACGTCGATCCCATTTAAGTCAGCCGAACCCCTTGGGCGCCCCTAACCTCATCAAAACTCCAACTTCTCAACTCCAAACTATAAACATTCTTCATCATGGCTAGAACAGCCCAAAATGGACGTCCCAATCCAAGTCCTTACCAATGGCGCCAGCGAGAGTACTCGGATCATCAAGGCAACCCTGTCATTCGCGGCAAAGTATCGAGAGCGCAGTCGTTTGACGCGCCAGAAGGGAAGGAGAAATATACAATTCAAATCTACAGCAAAACTCCGATTCAACCTGCGGACTTCGAAAGCCTTTATGAATACCTCTCCCCTTCATCAGACGACTGCATATTCATAGAGCTCTACACATCTACTCAAAACGATGCCTTTGCCTGCGTTGAGTACCAACGCCGCGAGATCGCTCACCGCAAGCGTCTGTATGCGTATTCCGAGCAGCCATCAAACTTTTTCCCTCCATTGATTCCAACCTTCAATCCCAATGCATCGTCTAGTGGGCATGTGGACGACCCCGAGCCCAACTACGACACGGGTACTTGTCTTCTCTTGACCTCGGACAGCTACCGTGCTGGCGGGGACCGGGAGAAAAGAAACCAACTGGGAACAGGTCCACTTTTCATCCATTTCACTCGTAGATTTCCCAGCCAAGTACAAGAGATTGATTTGGTTGACCGCGTTGACTTTGACGAACTAGATGATCTACCGTCTTTTGCTGAATATGGGACTGAAGTGCTTCCCGAAGCTATTGATATTGATGTCAAATTCTATAAAGATCAACGCGAGATGTATCAATATATACAAGCAACGCTTAGCAGATTACAGACGCAGAGGACGGGGGATGATGAATGGGAACTAGACTATAGAATCGACGACCCGGTTTCCGAGCAAACTACCTGGGATTCTCAACAAGTCAAGAGGATTCTAGACGAGCAACGTTCCGAAGCCCTTAGATCCGTGAGTGCCGACACTTTATCCGTGACCCAAAGTCCCAAGGATATAGGAATTACGGTCAAAAACCACTCCTCCGAAGAAAGCGATCTCCAATATATGATCTTCGTTCAATTCCTCGCGGAAATTCCAGACCCAGAACTGTTAGAAATCACAGGCCGCCTATTCACAGCACATATCCTTTCCATGCTTGACTCGGAGAAGACCGTTCGGTTTGACTTCAGAACCTCTGGTGCAAGCTTATCCTCTATACTACCATTCCCCAAAAATATCACCGTGGGTGCCTTGTATAGCTCGGAAACCGGAACAAAGCGCCGAATCGCACCCTTGGAGCCGCATGACGTTGGAGAACTTCCCTCTGTTATATGCGAGGAATTTGCTGTGGTCCTCGACAGGCCGGCATTTATTACAGAGCCGGGTGTGCTTTTCTTCATGAACAACATCCGGCCAGGTCACGATCACAACAGCCATCGACATCGTACGATCGCTCAAGTTCGACGCAGTGCTGGGATGCCGGAGGTTGCAAGGAGGCTGGCTATGCTTGCGTTAGAGGAGAACCGTGGGTTGAATCCTAAGAGAAAAGTCACAAAAGAGGAATGTATGTCTCTCTTAGGCCTTACTCTGGAGCAGTACCAGTCTGCGTTGTTTGGGCCATCACGATGGTGAAGCGGCAAAGCCGGGTCTGCCTAGTTTGTGGAGTTGATGATCAGGTTCGGGATGGCTAGGATCGAAATTGACGAGGTCTCTGTTGTAAGACTTGCTATGCTGTCCACTTCGGGTAACAAATATAGAGTTTGAAATTGAATGGACAGATCGAACTGTGAGAGTCTCCTGAAATGATTGGCCTTGTAGCATACTATACATTCTCTATTCGACATCGCTCTGTTACTGGGTAAGTATTTCCCGAGGTCTTAACACAGTTTGAAGGGTATTCATACATGTCAAGTATCACCTAATGGCTGTACTGAATACCACGTTGAATGTTTACCGAAGGTTGAGCTAAGATAGCTTACCGAGGGAGCTACAAAGGTTCGTGTTATTCTCAGTCACAAGACTTTTCCCGACCAAGTGAGCACTCACTTTCGCCAATAACGTTCGGCGACAGCGATGCCTTCCGAGGTCTTTGGCTTAAATTTTGGAGAGAGCCATCCAAGACTGCGAAAATGTTCCAGTCTGGCTCGAGTTTCTTCGCAAAGAATGGGATCGGTCCAGTATTGGCGTTCATCAGCTTGAACGGATGTGCAGGCGCAGGCGCCATGGAGGAGTCCAAATACAAAGACTATAGTGAAATTTGTGTTGTAGGAGACGACAACGTCAAGGTCTACTTAAGGCGTGGGCAACGAGGATGAGCGAGAATGGGAAGTGCAAGGATACCGGAAGAGAGAGAAAACAATGCATCTTATAGGCGCTCAACTGAACAGGGCGAAAAAGGAGGGGACTTGGCTTTAGCTGAAGGGGAGCTACTTTCAGCGTCGTTTTTGTCACCAGTGGAAACGAGGGGAACAACTATGTCGGTCGAGCGTCAACATCAGGACCGGAGGATGACTAAAAGTGCTGGGCGGGTGCAGAATAGTGGTGTTTACAGGGCTGTGAGCGGTTAAGGGGCAGCTGTACGTCCAAAGTTACGGGTGGAAAGGCAGCCGTTTCTGGCCTCAAAAGCGGTCATTTTCGGCGTCAATCCCTCAGGTCCTCATATTCTAGTAAGTTTATGTAGTTCTAGGCTCAATCTCTTCTAAGAAATACTAGATAGCCTCGGACCAAGCCTTATATATACTTGCTTCTCTCCCAGCCCTCCTTATGATATACGTAGTATCATGTAAACAAAGGACATCATTCAAGAGTCCAAAGCTACAAACCAAAAATCACCACACGGTTGAGCGAGAAAACTCCCATCCCGCCATAAGCTCTAATTGTGCAAGGTGAATCTTTTGATCCTCCGTGTCCTCAAAGTACGCCTGAGCAGCCATGCGCCCATGTTCATCAGGGTTCCCAAAATAAGCAGAATCAACCTTGCACCGCGTATACGCATCAGGAAGCGTCCCCTCATGCAAGAACGCACGCAGATGCTTCGCAACGCAGACCGAACCCACAGCAATTGAACAATGTCCATACCCCTCAACCTCCACAACCTGCGATCCAGCAAAAGCTTCATTAGCCGCGCGCGCTGACACAAGCGGACATATAGGGTCGTAGGTAGTCGAGAGGATCAACAGCGGATGCGCGGTCTCCACACCCCGTCGCGGCACATACGGATGCGTCCTCGGCACCGCCCACTGCTGTTTCTGGTAGTATGATGTGAGGAATGCTGTGCTGAAGAGGCTCTGGTTGAGCCAGGGTGTGATCTGTGCGAGAAGCGAGTCTTTGCCCTGGGGCCAGTGGGGTGAGCCTGTGCGGCCGTCGTTTAGCTCGACGAAGTTGAGGGACTCGTCCGTTTGTTCTCCTGCCGTGTTGTAGGCCAGGAAGGCGGGTGTTGCGTTTCCTTGAAGTAGGCTGTAGAGGTTCTGTGCGAGGGATGACCACAGTGGAGGTTTGTATAATGCGGCGAATACACCGTTGTACCAGACTTTTTCGTAGGTTAGGATTCCGTAGACGGTGTTGTTGATGTATACGTCGAGAGGCTGATGCCGGAGCTGGTCTAGGGACGAGAGGACCATTTCGCTTAGCTCTTCTTTCGACGTTGCTAGTGAGGCGAGCGCGCAGCTGCCGGCATCTGCTTTCATGCATTCGTCAAAGAACCCGTCGAGCACATTCTCCGTGTCGATGAGATCTTCGGACAAACCCACGCCTTCGTACCACTCGAATTGGTTCACGACTCCGTCGATAACCACGCGCTTTGATCGTTCGGGGAAGAGCCCCGCGTACGTCTGTCCAAGAAGAGTCCCGTAGCTGAAGCCCCAGTATATCATATCTGCCTGGCCCACCGCATCCAGGATACTATTCATATCTGCTGCTGTCTGCGGGGTGTTGATGTACGGCGCATAGTCGCCCATTGTTTCGATACATGCTTTTGCGAAATTCTGTGCCCATGCGTAGATCTCGGGGCTATCGGCTGGAGCATCGCGCGCTTGAATATGCGACTTCTCTTGTCGCGTCTTAGCGTCAGGATAACAGGACGCTGCGGGTGTTGAGCTGTTGACGCCGCGCGGATCGAATGTCAGAAAGTGAAAACTTTCCCCTAGTATGGCCTTGAGTTGCTCGCCTCGGCGGTATAGGAACTCAAAGCCGCTGGCTCCTGGGCCGCCGGGATTTAGAAGAAGGTTTTGAGTTGCGTTTGCGCTGCGTAGGCGAATGAGTGGGATTGTGAAGCCCTTGAGGTTGGTTTCTGGGTTTGGTTTCTCTGTTGCGAATTGGTCTATAGGGACTTCGATGCTGCTGCATTCGAGTGGTCTACTGTGTAGGTCGCCGCATGGTTCCCAGGTTATGTGTTCGCCGCTGTATTTAAGGATTTTTGGGCTGTCCCAGGGGTATGATCTGGGGTATAGGTTATAGTGATTGCAAAGAACGAGTAACGCAAAGAGTGTCCATATTAATGGGAGGCCCCGGTTCTGAAGGCGTGGATATCTTCCTCCCCCCCTCCGGGCCCCCTTTTCTGATAACAGCCCCTGGTAGAAGCTTTTCCTCCATAATTGACTTATAATTTTGGCTTAGTTATTGAGTACACCAAAACGAGAGAAGATCTATGGATGTGTTGCCCAGTTCTGGGGAGTGTATATATGAATGCGGGGCTGTGCTCGGAGCTCACCTCGGAGTCCGGGGCTCACATATACAAGGCCATGGCTTAGATTGCTTTTCCCCTGGCACTCTTGATTGGGCTTCCGCTCATGTCGTAACACAAAGTACTATCCACAAGGTACTATCGTACTAGAAGTTGTGTAGTTTTATAGGTGGATCGAGCACAGGGGCAAATATTTCCATGTGGTAAATAGTTTCAGGGGTAAATTATCCGCGTAAGTACAGCTTTGACAGCAATTATAAATCAATTGCTACCTAGATAGACTATAGAAAAGTCTTCAATCTTGATATAAGTGAGGGGGGAAATATGAATATTGGTATCAATAAAGACACAAAAGAAGATATCAAAGGGATGTGTTGACAATATGTATACCATTATATACAGAGGACATCAGAGGTGATACAGTGATTCTTTAATCCACAGTGTACCCCTATATGCATGTGTATCCCTCCAAATAATGATCCCAACCCCTCCAAATGATCAAATGAAATACAGGTTAACTTATTTCCGTGCAGACAACCGCTTTGTCGTGACAGTCCCAAAGGATCTGACACAGATACAGCTAGACCTCCGCAAAGCCCATAAATGGGCCCGACATCCAAAGCCTAACCCAATCCAATGGGCTTAAGTGGGGGTGTATAAGGCCCCTATTATAGCCTATCTTGGCGCTAACAAATTGGGCTCTGTAATCGCTTTATTATAACCTTCGTGGAAAAGGTGAAAGTGATACTTTAGTATTAGATATTTATATAGTTTATAGGATTTATACAAGAGAACTAACACTTTCTAGGTCAGTCTCTATAATTTTCAAATTATCTAAATCAACGCGTTTTCTCGCGTTTTTAAACGTGATATAGAAATATAACTAGTAACTGACTCTAAATCATTTAAATAAAATATTACCTTAGGTATGATACTTAGGAACGGTACTAAACATAGGAGAATTAAAAAAAAAAAATTAAAACAGGGGTTGAACTTTAATTAGTCTCTCGATTTCTCGGTATATTTGTACTGTATAGGGCCCATTGGGGCCTCATAAAAGCCCAGTCAGTGGGCTTTTACCCCAGGCCTATAGCCTATCGTTGGGCCCAGGTTGGGGCTTTTGGGCTTTGTGGGCTCTGCGAAGGTCTAGATATAGCCGACAAGTTGAAGCGATAAAATATCCCATATAGTAGTAGTCCATGGGCTTGAATATGGCGAGAACCCATGATCTAATTCGAAGAGCTAGAAGATCTGTGCCCTAGCTTTGGGTTATAGTCGAGTTCCTACTATATATGTAGTGCCAGGAAACGCCTGGAAGACAGGGACAGGGCGGTGAATGAGCTATCACAGTTCGTTCATAGACCATCTCAGTCGAATAATCTTCGTCTGTCAACTTTGCAACGTCCTAGGTGATCATGCGAATTGGCTGAAAGGTCATTGGCGAGTTCGCGATGTCATGTTTGCCAGGACTGGAATACGAAGCTATTCGCACTTCAAACCAACTAAAACTTTTCTCTTGGCTTTTTCGACTATGACTTGAAAGCTCAAAGGATCACCAACTGAAAGCTTCAAAATTGAAGCAAATGCCACGGCAGGGAGTGAATGTGAGGAATCTTGGAGGTGGATGGAATTGCCTTACCTAATCTCGACGCGCGGGAGAGCTCCGTCCACGGGTGGACCTGAGCTCTCCCCCCATAGAGATGTTGGATCTGCAACCATCTTGAAGCTATTCATTTGATCGGTACTCCTACTTTCGGATATTGCACTTTGACTTCAAATTGTGGGCCTGGAAGTACTTTCAGCGATTCTGCTAGGGTTATTCAACTTGACACATTCATTCCCTACATTTTCACTGTCTCTTGCACTCTCAGCGACATCGAATTTATGCATGTGCCTTCTTTTTGCTTGAAGTTACAACGTATTTGATCTTCGCGCCAATCAGTCAATACAGCAGAGCTTGGAATTGTTACGGACCACGGACGTCAGAGTGGAAACCCCCATAAAGCACAATGTTTAACGGTAATTCACAAAGAGAAGTGCCCATGTCTCATAATGAGCAATCTCATTATGTTCGCGCACAAGAGTACACATCTACGCCACGATATCCACCCTCGACCGGGTCTCTTGGGGCAGGCTATTTCGGGTTCTCGGGAAACGATGACATTGTAATTGTCGACCCGAAACATTTCAACCGCGATTCCCACCACTTTGCAGAGGGAGATTTTGTTTGTCCCGGATTCTTCAACCGCGTCGATCTAGGCGGGTTCACCCGCCGCTTCAACCCTTCGCAATGGAATTACGATATGCGCCGCCAAGCCCAGTCCATCCTTCCATTCTTATCTCTGGGCCCTTCATCATGTCTACGTGATGCCGATTACATTCGCAGCCAAGGGTTCACACTACTCCTTGCTATTCGAAGTCGGCACTCGGCCCTGGCACGCCTTGTCTCAGGCGAAAAGGCGGCGGCTGAAGCTGGTATCATGGCCGACACGGTCGATGTCCTTGATAATCAGGAACTAATTTCTGCATTCCCCCGCGCTATCCGCCGCATCAACGACCATCTGGCTGGTGTGGATGTGGGACCCGATGGAACGGTTTCAGATGACCAACAGCAGAAAAAGAAAGTTCTCATCTTCTGTGAATCCGGGAATGAACGTTCCGCCGCTGTCGCCATTGCCTACATCATGGTCATGCTCAATATTCAGTCGATTGAAGCTACGCACATGATCCAGCAGCGTCGCTTTTGTGTCTCAATCGAGGACACCATGAAGTACATTCTCACGGCTTTCGAGTCCATTCTTTCTGCTAAGCGGGATGTTGAGCGTGCTAAACAATTTACTGTTCGTGGAGCTGCAAGTCTTGCGCCCCCATCTGCGCCACCAATGCTCGCGAAGAAGCGAAGTTTTCAAGATCATAGAAATGATGATCTTGTCATGGATGAGGGTGAAATGGACGTGGATGGGGATGATAATGAGGATCCCTTCTGTGCGCGAAAACCGAATGCTCCCTTCCAAGACCGCGTGGTCTAGAGTGAACCAAAGTCGTTTTTTGCAAGTGTCTTTCATTGAATTATCAATGGCAATGTCACGTTCTGGAGATGGGGAGAAGGACGCATATGCTGGATGATGAAAGGGAAAGAAGGGAATCTGTACATTGTTTAGAGTAGGGTGGCTGTCTCCTTTTCTTTTGTCTGCTTTATTTCGCTGCTTTATTGCTTCATGGTTCTTACATGCAAATACCCAGCTTCAGTTGCTCGTTTCTACTAGCTTCCCAACATTCAGGCCATCCACTGGCCATCCACTGGCCATTACACCTCTATATCTTCATATCCGTAAGATCATAAACATGGGAAAGGTTCAACATAGCATGTGGCTACATTTTGTGTAGAAAAATCGATGATGGGGTCGATATCAGAATGTGGCAAGTCTCAAGACGCGCGCAAGTTGGTGGATGCCCTTAAGCATCTGACCCAGTGTTTGCCTTGTCGTCTCGACTCAATTTGCGCCTACCGTTTGTTTTCCTTTTCGATCTGAGAGCTCGAGTCTTGCACTGACTTTGCGCGACCTCAAAGCCACCCCGGTCCTCCCTTCTCCTCTCTTCCTTCATTTCACTCAACAACCTTTCCATCTCCTGACCACCCCACCACGATCACTCATCGCACCCTTACAATGAAGCACATGCTTCCCATTGACCTTCTAGCATATCTACGATCGGTGCACCCACGCTACCATTAAACGCATCACTCATCGTCCCTCCCCTACAGCTCACGCCTCACCTCAACGCGCCGCCAAAATGAGCGGCATGAAACTGCGCGACAGTATCCGCGCGCCGGTGCGATATGGCGAATATGAATATGAAACACCGTCACAGACCTTGCTGCGCCACGGATACGATGACTTCTTTGACGACTCCATCGAGCTTGGGGAATCAGGCAGACCACGCCCACAAAAGAGGCGCAGGCCAAACACTGTGCCATTCAACCCCAGCCTGCCACCAGCCGCATTCCCCAGTTTGAGCAGATCACAGCCAGGTCGTGATTCCACCACCTCCGCGCAGAGTCGCAGCGTTGGCGACAGCCAACAGCACATGCAGACAAGCGACGTTGCACCTCTCCGCAACGCTGGGTTAACACCAACCGTTCCATCGCCTCCGTCTGGGATAGAACGAGTCCCGACGGGTCAGCTGGAGAATTACATCGCCAGTAACAACATGGATAATCCGGTGTATGCGAGGAACGTAAACACGGCGCGCATGAGTCGTGTGGATGCGCCTCCGAGTACCGAGGATATGGTCACCTCTCCGGATAGCGATGACGATCCACTGCCAGATGCGACTCAGGTGCTCCTTGATGCGGTAAGTATATCGTGACTTTTGTCGTGTTAGTACGATTGAACGAATCTGATGTCAGTCGGCGTTTTAGATCCCCAACCCAAAATGGAGAGATCTGCACAAGGCCATGCAAGTTGAAATCCTCGAAAACACAATGAAGTACCATAGCTGGAGACGTGTTTGCGACCTTCTTGGCCTTGGGCTAGATGAGCGAACACAGCTCATGCAGGTCATAAGCATTCGCAACAAACAGATCGAACGAGAGAACAAAAGCCTGGACCAAATGCGGCGCAAGCAGCGAATGGTACTCATGAGAATTGATAACAGCGACTTGAAGCGTTTCAAGCCGCCACCTCAACTGGTGCTCAAAAGGATCGCCCGAGAGACCAATCGAAACCTGTTGCTCACCGAGTACACGGACCTCTTGATGTGCCAATCTCACGAGGTCTTGAAAGCCAGACAGTACCTGCACCAACACGGGCTACCTCGAAGATATGCCGGCGATTGGGGAGACACCCTGGTGGTGCTGCAAGAATCCGAGGACTCCCATGAACCCGACAAGTTCGAATGGAAAGACAACCTGAGATTCACTCCACCTCCCAATGAGATCGATACCCTAATAAATCCTTTAATGGACCCAGTCAGTAGTGCCAAGAGTACATTCATTCAAAGCATTGGTACATGTATGAACGGCACAATGAACCCAAAGGATTTAATTCAACGCAACACTGATGACACGGGTCCCATGATGGATTGGGGAAAGTATTATGAACGGAAACCGGACTCGTCATGGGACACCACAAAGCCCCGACTGGGTGGAATGGTCAGGGTGAATATCGGTCCACACAAAGCCGCTCAGATCCAACGATACAAGCAAGCCGGTGTCATACCACAAGGATTATCCTCTCAGAGGCAAGTGACAGTCATGCCAGAATCACCCCCACCGGAGTTTCCACAAGAAACACCATCTAAGGCGCCACGGAACGGAAGTGTCGTCCAGCCGCCTTTCAAGAAACCCGCCAAACCTATCAGCAGAGTCATCACCGAAAGCCGGCCTTCGGTAGGTTTCAGCCCAACGGAGAGCCAACTCAAGTATCAACGAAGCATACAGCAGGCCAAGCTTGAGAAAATACAGGCGCAGGCCGAGGCAATGCACCGTCAGTTCAACTATCAGCCAACCCTCCAAATTAATGGCGTTGGTCTTGGAATAAGTCCCGCACGTGGAAACCTTCAGACGCTTCCGCTGACCCAGGCCGTCGGAGAAGACATGCCTACGAGCTTTTTCGCTCGGGCGTACCATGGAATGACAAACATGAACGTTGATCACATCATGGATGAATTTGTCCGCTTTGAGCCTATTGTGATGTCAGAGGAAAGTGAGCCCGAGCAACCCGATGAAGAGCAGCCTGATGAGCAACCAAGTTCCACTGATATTAGCACAATCACTGAGATGTCCATGGATGATGTGATGCTGGTGCCGACGGATGGCTGTTCCTCTTCGGAGTAGAGGGATACAACGAAGAATTGTTGGGGAAACAATCAAGAACTCGAGAATTTGAGACTATGTCCTTCATATTGACTTGCAAGATTTGTTGTATATTATTAATGTTTGGTAGTTTTGAATGATTTTGAAGTCAACTCCGAGTTGTAGTTTCAGGGGTGTCCAATTTAAGCCTGGTCCGTGCGTCGAACGCGAAAATGCCACGTCAAAGACGCGCTCTTACTTCGATCTCCGATATATCACAAACCAACGTCCAATTTTGGGCAGCGTTACTTTGAACTACGATTGTCTATTTGTTAGAAACTCGTGTACACCCAGTCTCTGACATTACATTCGCTTACCCCTCGCCCCTCGCGAAACTTGACGTCGCGAAAACTTCTTCACCCCTGCGAATGACGTACCATTTCCATCCATCTGGTACTCGCTTTAGGTCATTCACTCTTTCTACTTTGTTACTCAATTCTAGCAGAAAAAAATGTCCATTGAAGACACCGCCACTCCCACGGATTCCCGTGCAGGGACTGTGGCACCTGAGTCGGTGATTCCTTCGTCGCCACTCACGGACCCGACTGAGGCTGAGGACTCGAAGTCGACTCAAGATAAAGATGAAAACCCCAAGGAAGATTTGGCCGATTCAGAAGATGTCGAGGAAATGGACAGCAAGGCCAAGGCCTTGATGCACCTATTGAAAACCAGCTCGGTACGCCTCCAGTCCATCCTCGTCTTATCTGATTACAGTGGTCTGATGTCTTCTCGTACCTGCAGGTCTTTGTTGCTATCATGTCAGAGAAAATGAAGAAACAGCAGGAGGACGCACGCCTGGCAGCCATCAAGCACCGTGAACAGACTGCTGCGACCCAGAAGAAAACCAAGTCGCCTCCCGAACCTGCTCGCCGAGCCACTCGTACTCGGCCGAACCAAGATGCAACAGATGAGAACACAAACGCCGGCGGAAAGGCTACAGGATCGACCAGAGGTCGGCCTAAGCGGGCAGCCGCCGCCAATGGCAACTCTATCTCCAGTTACTTCAAGAAGGCTGATGTGGAGGTAACCAAAGACAACCCCTCTGTGCAACAAGCACTTGAGCAGGCTGCAGACGACTACGAAGCAAACCCCACAACAATTGGTGATCAGGACTTGGTCGCGACACAGCAGCCGACACTTGTGAGTGGGGGCAAAATGAGAACATACCAGCTGGAGGGCCTTGAATGGCTCAAGACTTTATGGATGAATGGGCTTTGTGGTATCCTTGCCGATGAGATGGGCCTTGGAAAGACTGTTCAGGCAATCTCCATGATTGCTTTCCTCAAGGAGAAGAATGTCTCAGGTCCATTCTTGATCGCAGCACCGCTGAGTACGGTGAGCAATTGGGTGGATGAGTTCGCCCGATGGACCCCGGGAATAAAAACAGTCTTGTATCATGGCTCAAAGGATGACCGCGCCGCCATGCGTCAAAGGCATATGAAGATGAAAAACCAGGGAGACATGGACTTCCCAGTTGTGTGCACATCCTACGAGATATGCATGAATGACCGGAAGTTCTTGAGTCAATATCAATGGCGCTACATTGTCGTTGTACGTTTGCTTCAGTTCTTTTTTATTTACAAGACGCTAACCGATCTATAGGATGAGGGACATCGCCTGAAAAACATGAATTGCAAGCTTGTCAAAGAACTCTTGACCTATAACTCGGCCAATCGTCTGCTAATAACTGGAACACCCCTCCAAAACAACATCTCGGAGTTGTGGTCACTTCTACATTTCCTGCTTCCTGAGGTTTTCAATGACCTCAACTCGTTCGAAGGATGGTTTGATTTCTCTTCCGTTCTTGACAACAAAGGCCAGGCAGAGCTCGTTGAAAAGCGCAAGCGCAACTTGGTTACCAGCATGCACGCCATCCTAAAGCCCTTTCTTCTACGACGGCTCAAAACAGACGTTGAAAACACCCTTCCCAAGAAGCGGGAGTACATTCTTTATGCTCCTCTGACCACCGAGCAGAAAGATCTCTACCGAGAGATCATAAATGGCACAGGACGTCAGTACCTTGAGGATAAGGCCCTGGAGCGTCTGGAGAGTAAGAGCGGCAGCTCTACGCGCTCGCAAAGTATGAAGCGCAAACGGAATGGCAATGACGATGCAATGCCGATCAAGAGTGCCAGATCTAGCGGGGCATCCACGCCAGCTAGCAATGGAAATAATTCTAGCCGCCGACGCCGACGCAGCACGCGCCAGAGTTACAATGACCTAAGTGATGGAGAATTTGATAAGCACCTTCGCAAACTCGAGCTCGGAATTGAAGAAGAAGAGAAGATGCTCGAGCCCAGCGATGCTGAGCTCGAAGAGATGCAGCAGGCTGCGAATCTGAAGCTTGCCAGTATGTCACTTTCAAGTCACATTTTCTAGCCCATTTGCTAATATTGTTCTTGCAGAGAAAGAGATTGGCCAAAAGAAGATGCAAAACCCGGTCCTACAGGCTCGCCTTGCCTGCAACTCTCCGCACAATTTCTATTGGCCGTGGATGGATGAGTCCTCTACCGTAGACGAAACACTCGTCTCTGCTTCTGGAAAAATGCTCCTGTTGGACCGCTTGGTCTCGTGTTTGCTTAAGAAGGGCCACAAGATTTTAATTTTCTCTCAATTCAAAACCCAGCTTGATATCATCGAAGAGTGGGCAATGACACTCCGCTCCTGGGAGTGCTGCCGAATCGACGGTGCCATTGCACAGGCAGAACGCCAGGCTCAAATTAAAAACTTTAATACCAAGAAGAGTCACAAGCTCTTCCTCCTAAGCACCCGAGCTGGTGGTCAAGGAATCAATCTCACCTCCGCCGACACCGTGATCATCTTCGATTCTGACTGGAACCCCCAACAGGATCTGCAGGCTCAGGATCGAGCCCACCGCATTGGTCAGACCAAGCCAGTGATTATCTACAGATTGGCAACGAAGGGTACCGTTGAGCAGACACTCCTTGAGAAAGCGGATTCCAAGCGTCGCCTTGAACGTCTAGTCATTCAAAAAGGCAAATTCCGCTCTTTGCTTGACTCTAGTGCGAATTCTCAAGATATCGATGAACTGCGCAGGGCTCTTGGCGAGAACGAGTTCGAGCGGTTCGAGGTTGGCGCTGACCCTGCGTCGATTTTGTCAAATGAAGATCTCGATATCTTGACAGATCGTTCGGAAGAGGCCTATCTCCGTGCTGAGAAGGGGTTGGATACGAAAGGAGCTGCGTTTGTTGCAGTTGAAACGAAGCGCGATTCTGGTGAGAGCATCCTTTCTTGAGGTGTTCAAATGGCTGTTTACTTTATCTCTTTTCTTCCATCCAAGCTACACACTGGATGTCCAGTGGTTACTGGATTGTAACAATATCTATGGTCGGCTGGCTGCTTTGCTTGGTGTTGGCATACACGGTGGGATGGGTGAATTGTTCGTGTATCGATTGCTACCGTTCGCGTTTCCTAGTCAGGTAGATACCTAGACTACGAGACATCTTTGCTATTGTACCAGGTGTCAAATTATTTCGATGTTCTTACACTAATCAGAAATAAAAATTCAAAGAATATCCATTTTATGCCTTAAGCTCCATAGGCATAATATTCTGCCGTTTGATAGACCTTTCCCCTGAGGTTTCCTACAGGCCTGACATTTACATCTCACGGGTAGTTTTTGGCTCTCAATCACAGATCGTCATCTCAATATATGTGCTCCGTCAAATTGCCCGAGGCCAGTCATTGTAGTTCTCATTTGGGTCCTGGTAAGGTCCATAGTTGACCATCCCACCTCGGTCATTGGAAGCCAGAGGGATTCCAGATACCAAGCGGGTCACCAAATCCGGTTGGTAAACTCGAATAAGCTGATTGAAACTACTACATGGAAATGGAACGGACAGGATCACAAACCGGATTGTAGATGAATGGCCGTGCAAACTGGGCGAGGTCAATCTGAACTAACTTGATGAGGTCTTCCGCCTCCCCGAAGGTATACTCGTGGTTCACCATCAACATGGTCTTACTTCCGGGGTATTTAATCATTTTCCCAAACTCTTTCAGTGGCTCTTACTTCGCTGGCAGCGCCTTGTCTTCCGGCCTAGGGTTTGATTTGAAATAATCATCTTGGTTTCTGCCAACATCACACCCCCTGTGAGAAAGATTAATGAAGCCAAGATTGCGCTTCATCAACTCCTGAATATAACATGTGTAGGCTTCTGTCAACTCTTCATAGCTAACCATCGTATCATTGTAGTCGTCGGATGGGCATATCTTGATTCCCACAGCCCGCCGGCCACAAACAGACGTGATAGCATCGAGTACCTCTAAGAGGAATCGGCATCGGTTTTCCACCGATGCTGCATATCTATCGGCTCGAGCGTTGGAGTGACTAATGCATGTAAGAGTTCAACTCACGCTGCAAAAGGGCATTGCGACATACCTGCGAAGGGAGTTGTGCAAAAGATAGCCACTACTGAGATTTATTAGTTTAACCCTTTTTTTATATGATCATAAGAAAGATGCTCTTACCCCTGGGAGAGTAATTCAATCCCATCAAAGCCTGCGTCCATTGCTAGAACACATGAGGTTCTATACTGCTCCACAATATCTTTCACGTTTTCGATCTCGGTAATGTTTTCAGTGTGTCCCTTTTGATAACATCAGCCATCTGGCCTTTCAAAGGTGATTTGTGATGCCCAAGGATACCGGTGTTCCATCCAATACTCGGAATTTCTCTCCCTTGGCCTTGATCTTCGAAGGGGCAAAAACAGGATAGTTATACTCCTTGAGCATAGGCATGTTGTCGTTCTGGATTCGGCCTAAACTTAGCCACTTTAATATTACTTGTTACCTGCATCATTGTATTGTGAAGGCATACCAAGATTCCATGGCTGGAACATAATCTTCCCCCTTCTTGATGGACAGCATCGGTGACAATCTTCCAGGCATCTGAATGGCTCTTGTCAAACATCACTGGTGCATACGGCCATTCCGCACTATGCAGGGAGATGAATGTCCCTTCTGCGACAATGAGACCCAACCCTACGAAGTGCTACATTCTGTTTCCACGTACCAGATTTGAGTGAACTATGGCACTCTACATCTCTTTTATTATAATACATGCATATAGTACGACGAGTTGGATTATATGTAAAAGCCTCTGCTCTCCTAGTCCTTAAAGGAAGGAATATAATTTGCTCCAACGTAGCAAACAGCAAATTTGAACGCCTTTTCAAAGTTAACGGTCTTCATGTTTTGTTTTGTTTTCTTTTCTTATATTCAGATTATTATCACGGATCTTTTTCCAGTTTCTCCTCGGGGAGTATTCTGGTTAGTTAGGTACATGGGCAACGACCTCAATTTCCACACGCATATCATCCTCACCAAGACGAGTAACCCCGACACAAGTCCAGATTGGCTGATGCCCGGGCATGTACTTCTCAAAGTTTCGCACCATAGCTGCTAATGCCTCATCATTGATAGGCACATGGTACGAGTTGACGCGGAAAACCTGGTTCCAGCCTTCACCGCCAGCATCCTTCAGGTTATGCTCGACATTGGCGAACGCTTGGTCGATTTGTTCATTGATTTCCCGGTAAAACTCGCCAGTCTCACGGTTCCAACCACCTATAACCGGCGAGGTCAGCAAACAAAGCCTGCGATACAGTCAGGCTGATTGCTCACCTTGGCCTGCGCACTCGATCCGGTCTCCGATTCTAACAGCTTGGCTGTACTTGAAGTTCTGGCGATTCCTCTCGCCAACGCCCTTATAGGAGAAATATTGAAGGTGGGACATGATAAATTTTTTGCCTTTGTGAATTGTCTGTAGTTTCGGGGAAATACCACTCTATAAATATTTTCAAGGGTGTTGCGGAATGTGTATTCCGCAACCAGGACTAGCCTCTGTGGGGTGGTGGAGCGGGGCGGAGAGCTTCTAGTGGGGCAGCATTCCTTTGCTTTGCCTTATGTACTAAGAAGATATTTCAAGGTTATCTCACGCATGAGCGGATTACATTTTCCGCTCTTCCTTCCTTTGCTGCGAAAAAAAGCAATACTCCTATGCGCGGAAGCCGCTAAAGAAATAGCCACTCTTAGCCAACAATATCGTGCGGTTTTCGCCAGCTTCCGAAGTCCTCTCCCAGCTACACACTGCACAGTCTCTGCTGAACTTGCGACTATTCAAGCTGGCAGCCTTGGACACACGGCAAGTCGAAATTCCACAACGCATCTGATATATACATTTTCGAAACCCCTAGAAGAACTTTCAGGGTCTTAGGTCTCTGTCAGATGCTACTGAAGGAGTGTTCGTCCAATGGATCAAGGCCGAAAGCGATCCTGTCGTCTGAAGTTGAGACTTGGACGAACATGCCCACCTCAGCCTGCAGGTTGAACAAGGCGTAATCTGCCAGACAAAGGTATAACGCCATGTACCTCGCACGCTGTTTACCCGATAACAGCAGTCAAGAATTGAATTCGGTCTTCGAACTTAATTACAGTCCTGAGCCTTGCCCTGTATCAATTAATAAGTAATTTTTTCCGCCTCTTCTTCTCGCTTCAGTCAGTATGAGCCTTTCTACAAACAGTACGCGTGAAGCCTTCGGTGAGAAATCTTCTAGAAGTATTATTAATTTCGCTAACTTGGTATTACGAAGTATCAATTCCCGCTGAGCCCTGGCCTAAACTGGTCATACACGAATTCATCGATTCTCCCGAGCTAGGCACGGAGGCTAATTCTATAGTGATTAGAGATGTTTCTGCTACTTTAGGCTCGGCATCTATCCCTATCGTGGGCTATATTGACGAGGATTGTGGATATGGTGAGATGGAGCCGCTTGTTTCAGATGCCGACACCGACATCATGGCTACACCGGAATTCTTGGAAAACCTTACTTGATCAATGAAAGTTTTCCTGTCTAAGCAGTCGACGATGCAGCAGTGGATCCGGCCTCTGTCCTTACACCGACCAGACTGTCAGGCCGCGAGGACCAGAAAGCTTCAAATCTTCGGGCAGTCAACCGCAAACCATCTTCAATTGGAGGGCAAAGGACTTAAATAGCCGAGAGCACTTTTCATGTGGTATCTTAGGTTATACACTGGCTCTGATGTCTTTTTTTTTTTTTTTTTCCCGTGATTGGAGCTTAAATCGGCTAATAAAATGACGCCCAAGAAACTTTGAGGTTTTGAGAGTCTCGTCAATATCCCAAAGCTTGATGGTTTTGTCACTAGAACTAGATGCGATCTACGTGCCATCCGGTGAAAAAGCCACAGTGTTGACTGATTTTGAATGTCCTTTTAGTGTCTTCTGAAGGTCACCCGTAACGGTATCCCAAAGCTTGATGGTTTTGTCAAAAGAGCCTGACGCGACCTGCGTGCCATCCGGTGAAAAGGCCACAGCACTGATTGTCATAAACGGCAATCACCAGAAAGAATAAGCCCAGGTGGGTTACATAGTTCTGTCAAGCACTATGTCATTTGCTAAAGTAACAAGCTAATGTGAAGGTGGTAGCTTGATGAATTCCTGGATAGTGCATCACTCCAAAATGCTATGCTAAGAAGCAAAAGAGCCCAACAAAGCCCTTTTGAACCAAGGACCAAGCAGACCGAGTAAAAATGAAGGCTCAAAAATTGCCTTTCTGCCATAGATCCAACAACTTCAAAATCAGCGCCTGTTTCAAAAACTGCCAATAGGAGTTCCGCTGCTCAGCCAATGTGATCTTCCACCCGATAGTCCAGCATGCCCCGACAGCTAAGGCCACACTGGCTCTTTTGAAAAGGGAGTCTCCGCATAATGTGAATACAAGAACAATACTGGCGAGAATAGAACGCGAGAAATTCAGACTTGTGGTGGAAAAAGTAGAAGAGTCTGTTGTCAACGGCCCCGCGATGTGCCATGTAAAGAAGAGCGTAGCCGTTGCGACCACAGTAGCAATCAGTGAATCGACCGCATCCGTTAGAAGATTGGAGGGCAGGAAGAGAGACAAGGGTGTGTATAATGTTCCGAGTTGACGGCACGCAGTGACCGTAAGAGCAATTGCTAGAGCCCGTTGAAAGAAGATCAACGTTGAAGATTCTTGACCCATGAAGATGCGAGACTCGGGGGGATAAGAAGAGGACTAGGTTTAGAAGCAATAGAGGACAAATCGCTGAAAGGAAAGGTCAGACGTGGGGGCGGGGCAGAAACAAACCAACGGCTCGATGCCGGATCTTCACTGCCACAGTACAATGACAAAATACAGTCGTAGTAGTAGTAGATTTCACTTACTTCGACCTCTCTTACCTTCAGTTGAGCCTCCCAGCACACTTGATACGCTGTTAAACGCGTCCCTAGCTTCACTCCATAACTTCCGTCTGATTTCCCTCAGATTTGGGCAGTCCACTAGGACGTAGGTGACTGTTTCTTGTTCACCGCATACGCACTGATCATTGTCGCGGAAGCCGAAGGTCTTGGCATAGGTGGATAACCAATTATGGCCCGTACGTAGCTATATCAGTAGGTACGCCCGGCCCCTAGACAAATTCCCATACAATCTCCTAGTGTAGGCCGCCGGTAGAGTGCTATCAAGTTTTCGTAGGTGACCGCCTTTAGTAGATGCTTTCTATTCCCGCTCCTACTAAGCGCGGGTGGTATCTCGGATAAGCGCCCTTTTCCTTGTTAGCAGAGGATAGAAGGGATGTGTTTTGCCTAGGCTTACCGCGTCCTTAGCTAGCCCTCTGCTACGTCGTTCCCCGGGTTATCGTAGTATCCAGGTATCCATTAGAGACGGGGCGCGATTCCCTTTGCTTGAACCTCTACGGCTGCCGGGAGGATCGCGTAGGTGATGCGCTGTCCTGATTTAGTACCTAGTTTCTGGATTGCTTGTAATGCTGATCTACTATCGTAGAGGATTATTGCCGTTATTGTTCTATTACGTTCCGTTCTTAACCGCTGATAGCTGATTTTGAACACTATACTAATAGCGTAAAAAGTACCTATCAGCTAGGCTACTTAAACCGACTATCGGTCTATAGGTCCTACCTAGACCTACTAAGACTCGATGACCTCTAGGTTGTTGTCTAGAGCAACGACAGCAGCGCCTAGGTGGCCTTTACGTCCTAAAGTATCAGAGTAGACCACGATAGCGGATGTAGACCGCGTAGTCTCCGCCCGTTCTCTAGCTATCTCTCTGTCTGACCCGATCTCAATCTCCGTAAAGGACTCGGCTCGCTATGGCGGTAGCAGTCGTGGGTCGATTGTCTCTAGTTTATCTAATCTTACTAGATCTATAGTCTTTAGGGCTTCCGCTAGTAGGAAACGAGCGTACGATCCGACATTGTTCCTACGTTTCTAGGCTCGCCGTAGTGCCTCCTAAATAGGATGATCTCGCGGTAGAGTGCGAAGGTTTGCGATGGTGTTCTGCGCTCGGTGGCGGAGGCGGAGGTGCGTTGGCAAGACATGTGCTTCTATTTCTAGAGTCGTGGTGGCCACTGTCCTGAAAGCTGATAAGATGCGGATCAATGTGGTTCTTAGGACTGTGGTTAAGTGTCGTAGGTAAGTATTGTCTCGCAAAGGGTCGTGCCAGACCGCTGACGCGTAATACTATACATGTAACAATCTGCCACGAGCTGAATATTTGGGTACAAATGCATGCATCTGCAGGCGGTTATGGACAGACAACGTGCATGTATATATACCCTATGACTTGGTTTTGGGGTTTAGCCAACAGGAAAGTGAAGCTGCGCACAGTTCAAGCCCAATGCCATTCCCAGTCATCTTATCGGGCTGCGCAAACCTGACTTGTCTCTCAGTTTCCTTCCTTTCATTCCTTATAAATATCCTCCCCCCCCCCCTCCTCGTCTTTCTGTTATTTTCCATTTGATCCATTGTTTCTGACACAATAAACCGCCATATTATCATCGTCAGCATATTGACCAATTTCGAATCTCCGCCATAGTTATATTTATGCCCCTCCCGTCGGACGAGGAAATCGAGGCCTTTAAGGATTCGGTTCTCCAGCGAACCTACTGCTTTACCAACCGAGCTCTGATTCGCGAGGCTCTTCAAGGCTCTAGTCTATTCAATCCAGGCGGCAATAAGGTTCTCGCCTTGGCTAGCGACGCGACCCTCCGCCAAATTCTCGTTGACCAGGGCCGAGACAGAAATAAATCACCGGTAGAGACCCTCTTATAAATTACTATTTTGCACGTGTGTTGACCATTATCAACAGAAGAGATCCAGAACGCCATCACCAAGGTGGCCTCTAATAACAACCTAAATGACCAAGGCATTACCCTAGGTCTTGACCCCTTCATAATGAAGAATCCGGGCCAGTGGGGCCTTGTGGCTAGAAGGAATGTTATGGCTACCACCATAGAAGCCATAATTGGCGCCGTCCACTATGACTCCAAAATGAAGTGCAATGATGGCGAAAGGGTTGTGGCAACCCTCGGCCTCTCCTAGCCCGAGTGATCGACCGTGGTTCCTTCAGAGGCACCTTCTTGTCGTAGGGACATAGATGAAGCCGTAATGAGGGGACAGGGGCGATCCTTTACAGGGCTGAACCTTTTTCATTCAGCAGTGAAGGCGCCTATGAAGTGACTTGCATGTCACAGCACTATTGAATGAGCCTTGTCCACTCTATAATGGATCTTCCCTATCCCCACATCGCGGCTTTACTATGGCTCCATGGTGCGGAAATATCTCATGAAGAACATGTTTCAGGAATGGAGGAAGACGGTGGGGGAATGGAGTTGGGCTTTCATAAGATAGTCACTTATCAAGATTGAGAATGAAAGTACAGTAGCGGCACTGATGGTACTTTCTCCATTCTAAAAAAAATAGGGAATATTCAGATCCCTAGATGTTATCTCAAACAGTCGATCTCGGAGAAGGAAGGTCGAGATCCAACATTCAGCCCTGCCGCAACATAGGATACTGTATCCAAGTCTGACGGCTCCTCAAGAAACAGTCTTTGACTTTTGGAACCACCTATCTTGTTACCTTCTCCTACCTGATTGACAGGCACCTACCCTGACTTGTAGAGTATCTTTTAACATAGGGTAAGGTACTATACCTAGGAGTATTAGATACCCCTACCTAGATTATATCCGCCGCTAATACCTACGCTATCGACTATAGAAAAACTCCCTTTAGTATCTACTAAGGACGTTAGAACGTTATTAACCGCGACTTTAAGCGTAATATTATTATTTCTATAGCCCGCGAATTCGGTATAGCTCTTATACTATAAGTATCTAATTGTCCCTTGAATTTTAATGCCCAATTTCTAACCTATATAAAAATAGCTGGGATATTCTTAGTAGAGGTAAATTCTAGTCTAAAGCCGAGCTCGAGCGCTATAAGACTACTGGTGAAGGGCCACGTGCCTTTAGCGGCCGATCTCCCTACTAGACCGAAGAAGAGATTAAAGTTAGCGAGGCTCTAGAAAAAGTGGTATCCGAGCACGGTATCGGTTCTATTACCTCTATCGTACTAGCCTACGTTATATCTAAGGCTGGTAATATGTTCCCTCTAATCGGCGGCCGTAAGGTCGAGCACCTCAAGGATAACATCTAGGCCCTAGGCCTCAAACTGACTTAGGAGCAAATCGAATATCTAGAGTGTCAAACCCTTCAACTCCGGCTTCCCGTATAATTTCATTCCTGAAGACCCGAATGTTACTGGTTCATCATTCATCATTAGACGAACCAATGCCATGGAATTCCCAAACGCCCGGAAGCCGACCTCCCTATAAGAGGCTACTACCAGTGGCATGAAAATATGTAACATAGAAAACAGGGATTATGCACAGTGTGTACATAAGACACAGAACTAAGACACATCCGTCTGAGGCACAAATGAAGTACATTTCTCCATAAGTTCTCGGTAGTAAGTATTTATAACTAGGACTGAGGAACCAGTGCGGAGTTGTTATTTTCTTTCCGTTTACGTTTTGACTTCATTTTTGAATTAAAGCGCCTTTCGCTGTATGCTGCGTGGTCCTCCAGTTCAGGTTGACGAGCGGCTGGATGTCTCAGACGAGATACTGATCGTGCCTACTGATGACGGAGCAATCAGTGTGGCGAGCACGGGGCACAGGCGCAGGTGCCATAATATTAACTATGTTTTATGAAATAATCACAATGGGGTCAATTTGCGGATAGGTAGAACCATGATGTCTCGCTATCCATGGATTGTATGTTGGATTATTTCATCTCTTACACTCAGAAATAAAATGCAATATCCATTTGACGCCTGAAGCTCCCTAACAAGAAAATGGCTGTACATGATAGTCGCGAGAATCAAGAAGGCAGGACATATATGCAGCGAAAGGGGCCATGGAAAGAAAGAAAGAAACCAAAAAAAAACCCCAAAAACATAGGCCAACGGGTCCGCTAGTCCATATTGATACAGGAATAAATTACCGCCGAGCTTTCTCGTCCTCTATCTGGCTCCGGAGGTCTGAAAGGACACTATGCCGTTGGGCCATATGGCTCTTCAGGCCGTCCACCTGTTCCCCAACAGCCTTGACATCCTCCCGAAGTCGCTCCAAATCCTGACCATCCTTAGCACGGCCAGTACCCTCACGCAACTCCCGCAACTCCCGCTCCTTATACTCCAAGAGCGAAAGCGCTTCCTTCTTAATGAGAACCCAGTTGGGCCGGCCATCATGGCGCGGGCCATCCCGTCTAGAGTCGGAGGCTTTATTGGCGGAGCTCAGCTTCTTCTCCAACTCCGCAAGCTCACGGCGCAGTCGTACCTTCTCCCACTCCTCGTCCTGGATCGTGTCGCTGAAATCTGTTCCCTTGGGCTGGTATGAGCCCTTGCCGCCAACACCCAGACGGCCGAGGTAAGTATCGCCGAACTTGGCCTTCCGGCCTGTCCGTGTTTCCGTATCGCCGTCTGCGCCGTAGCGCTGTGCGGGTCGTGCCTTGTCAACTTGGTAGTCGATTTGGTTGTGCTCGAATGAGGCGCGCAGGGATGCGGGGATGGTGCGTGGGATGCGGAAACCCTCGTGGCGGAAGTTCAGGATGTGCAGGAAGGCAAGTGTTGCATCTTTGTTGATTGCGGGCGATGCGGAGGGATTGACCAGGTTCCAGGCGGAGCGGACATCGGTGTCGGGGACGTCGAGTGATTCGTAGAGTGGTTGTAATTGTTGGACTGGGAGATGGTCAGCGGGGTATTTCTCCGAGTGCGCTGTGCGCGCTGTACTGGTTACTCACATTCAACTTGGCCGCGCGCGTTCCGGTTGGCGTCGTAGATCTCGGTGTACTTGTTCTTGTCGTCGGGCTTCATATACCAATCAAAGCCGTCCTTCAGACCAAGCGAGTCGTCCTCGTCTTCTATCCGCTCAAATTGTTCTTGTCCACTGCTTAGTGCGCGGGTCGCATGGACGAGATGTGACTTTGACTCTGGGACTAGCCAATCTGGTAGGACATTTGGGACATCTTGTAGTTCCTGTACAGATAAGACGTTGTGTTAGAACGATTTGGTGGTGATTTGGGATGATAGATCACTTACGCCGTTGACCAGGTCGAAGACTAAGCGCATCGCAACACAGAACTCCTCGAAATCCAACTCCCCGTCTCCGTCGACATCGGCAATGTCCCAGACCTTCTCGAGCTGATCATCGCGCAGCCGGCTGTTCCTCAGCACGGAGGCGGCTTGGGAGCTGTTGAGGTGTTTTTGGCCATTTGATAATGAGGCGAAAATCTCCCAATATCGCTCAATCTCCCATTGCTCAATCTTTTTAGTAGCCATGATGTATGGAGCTCCGATGAAGGGCGTGGAGGATGAGGTGGGCACAATGGGGGGAGAGACTCGGATTTACCTACTTCCGTCAGGGGCTCTGAGGTCATTGGACTCACAATGTAATTATCTTTCTGTGTACGGAGCATAGCGTCATATTCAAATGTTCAGAATAATTATCATCTATATGGTTATCTATAAAAATTCGATGTGTTCCTTGCATTATGTTACATGATCCCCTTCACTGTAGAGTAGAGGAGCTCGATGCCCCCTTTCCCCAGAATATAGTGATTGAATCCTCATTATGAATCCTTCTTCTCGTCTTTCGTATTTTGCTTAGCCTTCCCTACAGCCTCGAGCTGTTCACGGACTTGGATGATCGCTCGTTCAGCTTCCAATGCAAGCTCTGGTGCATCCAGGATCGTAGCCAACTTCCTGGCATCAGACATCTTCAACAAGACCCGGTCCTCACTCTGCTCTATGTCCTCGGCAACCTCAGAATATGACGTCTCGGTCGTGCTACCTTCGATTTTTTGCGATGCGCGTTTGGCATATAGCTGTTCAAGCTCCGGGGATGAGATGGGGTTGAGGAGACTCTTCTCGACGAGGAATTCTAGATGTCTTGAGCCATTCAATGCTGTGTATTATCGTCAGCTTCATGAACCAGGTCCGTTAGGAATATCAAACTAACCGCGCCAGTGGGACCAGCCCCGGTATGCCAAATAGAAAAAGGGAATATTCGGAACCCTGGTCTTCATTAGAATATCATATCACCGGGGAAAACTCGTGGCATTCACATACACTGGTATCAACCCAAACGGTGCTGTAATTGGCGCAGCAATCAAGCTCCACATCATCCTGTTTCGATGAATTTCCTGCCTCTCCGTGGCGATCGTGCGCACCACTTGCTGGATTCGCTCCAACCGCACCGCGTTACCGGGGAACAGCACATCCACCTTGGTCTTTCCATGATCTCCATTAACTCGCAATTGTGTTTTGAGTGAAGGGATGCTTTTGAGGGCCCATTCTTCGTATGGTATCCGTTGCTGAACTCGATTGCCCCAGCGAACAAGGTGCATCTTCCATCCTTTGTCGGCTTCCTCCCACTTCGCCCATGTTTCAGCCGCCTTTGTTGTAACCCTATCAAGAATTGAAAGCTCTTTCGCTAAATCCTTGTTAAGGGGTCGAGCATATATGAGAGCTCGTTTTGTCGAGATCGGAATTAGGAAAAGGCGCATTGTGGAGGATGTCTGAGACAAATTGACAAATCGGAAATCGACAATCGCTTGATCGCGGGGAAGATAATAGATATCAAATAGATCAAGATAAAAGAAAATAGAAAACTTTCACAATAAATACTCCGTTGAAACTTGAATTTTGTTTTTCATGTGGGTGAAAAAGGGATGCGGGAGCAAAGCAGGTCCAGGTCCACGGGTTGGACAAATCGAGACGTCATTCCCGAGGTCCGCGTACAGTTTCGTCTTAGGGAGGCCATCCCTGAACAACCATACTTCCTCATTGATCAGCAATTGGGGATTCGCGGGCAAACTGTTGGTTTGAAGTTTCCCGCGGCTCCCGAGTTTCAGGTTTTAATTTCTCTGTATCATGGACAGCCCCAAAGACAGCGCTCCAGGGCGTGTCTTTGGTGAGAGGCTGGCAGAGAAGTTTCCACCCATCCCAGAGTCATCACCGCTGCCAGGCTCTCTTAGCGT